TTATCTTGGCATTCTCCTAAATTTCTTTCAAAGAGTGTACATTCTGACATAGAGTACTTAGTCCTGGGCCTGGCAGATTTATTTCTTTCAGGACCAGAAGCCTCTGCTGCAAACATTTTCCACCAGATCCTTGGTCAGAATAAGCAGCATATGAGCTTCATAACTGTTATGGTCATAATGTTTGTATCCCATCAAAATTCGTATGTTGAAACCTAATCTCCAATGCGATAGTATTAAGATCGGGGCCAGGCCGGGCTGGGCGCGGTGGCTCACACCTGTAATCCAAGCACTTTGGAGGCCAAGGCAGGTGGATCACCTGAGGTCGGGAGCTCATGACCACTCTGACCAACATGGTGAAACCCCGTCTTTAAAAAAAAAGATAGGGGCCATTTGGGAGGTGACGGATCGGCTTAGTGCCCTTATAAAAGAGGGCCAAAGGAGCTTTCCCCTTTCACAATGTGGGTGCACAGAGGAAGGCACCATCTGTGAGGAATAGGCACTCAGCAGATATTAGCACCTTGTTCTTGGACTTCCCAGCCACCACAATTATGAGACATAAATGCTGTTTATTGTTTATAAGTCACCCCCCCAGCATATGGTATTTTTTTTGAATATAGGGTCTTGCTCTATCACCCAGGCTGCAGTGCAGTGGCATGATCATGGCTCACTGCAGCTTCAACCTCCTGAGCTCAAACCATGCTCCCACCTCAGCCTCCCAAGTATCTGGGGCAACAGGTGTGAGCCACCATGACTGGCTAATTTTTTGGCTATTTGTAGAAAAGTGGTCTCCCTATGTTGTCCAGGCTAGTATTTTCTTATCAAAGCCTGAAAGGACAAAGACACTGTCCTTCTTTTTTTTTTTTTTTGCTGTCTCCAGGCTGCAGTGCAGTGGCATGGTTCAAGTGCCTCCCGGTTCAAGTGCCTCCCAGGTTCAAGTGATTCTCCTGCCTCAGCCTCCTGAGTAGCTGGGATTACAGGCATGTGCCACTACACTCGGCTAATTTTTGTATTTTTAGTAGAGACAGGGTTTCACCATGTTGGCCAGGCTGGTCTCAAACTCCTGACCTCAGATGGTCTACCCGCCTTGGCCTCTCAAAGTGTTGGGATTACAGGCGTGAGCCACCATGTCCAGCTGCTATTATTATTTATTATCTAACTACTATATGTGTTACTTATGTTTATTATGTAACTCCTCCACTGGAATATAAACTCCATGAGAGCAGGAGCAGGAATTTAATGTGTATTTTTAAAATGCTGTATGCTCAAAACCTAAAGTAATGTTTAACATATAGTAGGGTTCGTATGCAAGTCACGGCAACAAAAAAACAAACAAAACAAAAACATCATGTAGTAGGAAACCAATCCATGTTCACTGTGGAATCAATCAATGTTTGCCTTCTATGTTTACTATGGACCAAAATGCTAATTATTTTCAGATTATGTACGATTATGAATTGAAAATATATTTGCCTAGTCTGTAGCTTGTGGCCTTCTCCTTTTTAATGATATATTTTGATGACCAGAAATTCTTATTTTTTATATAGTCAATTTTTTTCTACAGCAAAGCACCTGTGAACATAGTCAAATTTATCACACTTATCCTTCATAATTTAAATGTCTTGGTTAAGAAAACTTTCCTTTCCCAAGTTAGTTCAGTATATTTCATATTTTCTACTAAAAATTATCTTTTACCTTTCATATTTAGGTTGTTAAGACACTAAGAACTGATTTTTTTTGTATGGTGTGAGGTAGGGTTCAAATTTTCACCCCTTACCAAGGAGGCTCTATTTTTCTACATAATGGTTTTGGTTTGATCTCTCTGCTTTCTTAAGTCTCTTATCCTATGAAACACCATCAAGATTCTACAACAATGAAGCAAAACAAAGTATCAATCCCACAGTTTTATTTGTAAAGAACAAAGCATGAAAAGTCATATTTAAATGTACTCCCAAACCTGAAAAACCCACGTCAGTTTGTCTGATATGTATGTTAAAGTGCTTAATATCACAATACTCTTTTAAATTTTATATTATGTTCAGATGAGAAAAAAATCCAGTTCTGATGCATTTTGTTAACAATACAGAGAAAACCCATATAATTTAAATGCATAAATGCTAATTTAAAAAAAAGATACACAGGGTACATTTATACATGGTTCAGGTGTAACACAGAGCATTCTTTCTATATGTTTCACACCCTCATTTGATTGACAAACAGGAACTCCTTACTATACCTCTCTACTGTTGACAAGATTTGGTGTTTAGAATCAAGACTGGATTCACACACAAGTACATTTAGGTAATTGGAACAAGCATGATTCCCTCCTACATAACCCAAGGATATCCTGGATCCCTTCGAATGAGGAAAAATTTTATTTTAGTTTTTTTTTTCCCCCCTCTAGCTTGATGTGATATATCTCTGAAGCCAATCTTTATCTTGTCCTTGAGAGGGCAAATAGCTCTAATCAGATTTTGGAGATGAAGTTCTCCTCAGATTCTTTTGATGACACTACATCAGCAACCTCTTCAAAATGCTTAGAATTCAGTTGATTCAAGGGACTTATAAGTGTATTTTAATAGGAATAAAGGACTTAGTAGTTTATTATCTTTTTCTGTCTCCTATTTATGCTAAACAGTAATGTAATAAATACTATTTAAGAAACAGAGACTTCAAAAGACATGGATGACTTGGAAATAGGATTCACTTTATAAAAGTAGAGAAGTGCTCAAGACTCTCAATCGGTGAAGGTGTGTTAATACTGAAATATAAATAAAGTTCAGATTGTCTTTTCAACATAGTGAAAAGGATAGACTAGTTTCTGTAAACCTCACAGAAAATATTCACAGTTCACTAAATGAAAAATCTACTGAAAAATCATAATTTTTAGCAGAAAGAAGATATTCCATTATGAAGAGCTATACTCCTAATGTTGCGAAATAAGTATTTCCCTGGAAATTTGAGGTCCTTGTCTGTCACCTGTTTCAAAATACCTTAGGGATGTCAACATATACTATACATAAGCTGTTGTATAGTCTTGAACCTCTCTTTTTTACTTACATTTTCATATAACAGCATTTTATTGCCAAAAAGGGAAATATGAGCAATTCCGTATTCCCCATATCATTCATATAGTGTGATAGAAATTCATTAAAATAATTTTTTTAAATGCCATGTGAAGGTAAATACCACAGGATTATAAAAGGTACAAGAATGTGTGAAACACTTAAATTTTAGAGGAAAATCCACACTTCTGCAAGGTTTAAGTTTCTCATATCAAATTCTTATTCCTAGTGGAAAACAGGGTGGGGAGGGTTGGGAGGCTTTTGTAGCTGGTAGCCTGCTTTTTTCCCACATAGGACTCCACTTTATACTACTTCACGCTGACTCGCAGTCATTTTTAAGGCATATGACTCCCGACCAGGGCACAGATCTCACACGTACTTCCAACATCAGTGTAATGCCACTGTGTCATAAAGGTCGAGATTAGGGGTTTCAGGACATATGAAAAACACCAGGAAAATAAATTTTTCAAGAGGTAATATTTTTGGCAATTTAATTTTAAAACAACTTCTTCACCAGCTATTACTATGCAAAAAATACTCATTATGGTCCCAGGCATTTAATTTATTTGGAGGAAAACAAATTAAATATTGATTTTTTTATTTAAACTTTGAGATGTGATCCTAAAACAATATATTAATTTTTAAAAATTACTACAGCAGAAAAGATGCCTCTATGTGGGTATGGTCCTTCCAAAAGTCAGCTTAAAAGTCTAAGCATTTAATCTAAGCATTCTGATACTACTGTTGTGCTCAAAATTTTGGTATGCCTTAGAGACAGTTAAAAGACACATAAAAACTAAGTCCTGCTGGGCGCAGTGGCTCACATCTGTAATCCTAGCATTTTGGGAGGCAGAGGTGGGTGGATCACCTGAGGTCAGGAGTTCAAGACCAGCCTGGCCATCATGGTGAAACCCCATCTTTAAGAAAAACAAAAACAAAAAAACTAAGTCCTTTGTTTTGCTTTGTTTTTTTGAGATGGGGTTTCCCTATGTTACCCAGGTTGGACTCAAACTCCTGGGTTTACGCAATCCTCCTGCCTTGGCCTCCCAAGCAGCTGGGACTACAGGTATATACTGCCATGCCCAACATGTCTTATTTCTTTATAACTGCATTTCTTATGTAACCCCAATCTCAGCTTAAGCATCCTTTTTATTGATCAAACTTTGATCCAAAGAACTATTTCCAAGTTAAATTTATTGTTAAAGGCCAAGAGTGACCACCATTGGGAATATTAAAAAGAATGGGGGTATTGGCCATTCAAGCAGCTCACAAGAGGGCCCCACATGTTTGCAGCACAGGCTGTATCAGAATATGTACATGGGCTCACAAGGTGACTAAGGGGCCCATCATCCAAGAGGATGCGTCAGTTCTGATTTTTTTTTAATCAGTCATTTCACTATCATAGTAATATTACATAAAGCATGAAGATGAAACTTTAAGTCTAACTTTTTTGGGGGCATTACTTTTTAAAGTAATGGTTTTATTCATAGGCCCCCAGTCCAACTTTGCTCCCAGTTTTTTGGGGTTTTTTTTGAGACAGAGTCTTGCCCTTGTTGCCCAGGCTGGAGTGTAGTGGCACAATCTTGGCTCACTGCAACCTCCACCTCCTGCGTTAAACGATTCTCCTGCCTCAGCCTCCCAAGTAGCTGGAACTACAGGCACCTGCACTATACTCAGCTAATTTTTTTGTTTTTTTTTTGTTTGTTTGTTTGTTTTTTAGTAGAGACGGGATTTCACCATGTTAGCCAACCTGGTCTCAAACTCCTGACCTCAGATGATCCACCCACCTCAGCCTCCCAAAATGCTGGGATTACGAGCATGAGCCACCGTGCCTGGCTTGCTCCCAGTTTTTACAAGATGTTAATTCCCAATAATTTGAGAGCAATGTGTTAATATGAATTTTAATTATTCTAAATAAATATTCTTCCTTATTTCTTACTTGTATAGGTGGATGAATAAAGATCCAATAGTATAATAGAAAGACTATCAGTAAGAATGCCTGGAAGGTCAGTCTCATGCAGCCTGGTGAAACAAACAAACATGAATTCTAGAGCCTGTGTTGTCAGAGACCAGCTGTGGGGTGAGGGTAAGATTTAATCTCTCTAATCCTTAAGTGTTCCCATCTACAAAGTGAGAAGGCTGGATGAGGTGTGTCAATACTAGCACACTAACCTAAGTTGTCCCCCTGGTTGCCTAGACCTGTCAGAAGCATGGCCTTACGAAGATACAAGCATGAAATCCTGGGTTAGACCCTGCTATCAACTCTGATGACTAAACTCAGTAGGAGCCCAGTGTAAAACAGGTTTTGGGTATCTCCCACGATAGACTTCCCATGTCCCTGGAAGAGCTGTACCATTACAGATACACTTTAGCTTCAGGCAAACAAATTTCTAGTCTACTCAGAACCATCTTCTTAAACTATTTCTATGGGTTTTTAAATACAGCTGTCAACTCTCCTTTTCCTCAAGTATGAAGTCATATGTTAAAAGGGGCTTCCCTGGCTGAATACAGTGTTTGATAAAGGGAGTGAGGCACTTGTTTCATTAGTTTCTTCCTCCAGGAAATAAGGTTAACAACACAGCTGGTGAAAGCACCGCACCCTCAGATTGCACAGGATACTGACACCATGGCTTTGCTTTTCAGCCACATCTGGGAATAAAACTCAGGGCTTTGTTGAGGCAATTTTGCTGCTAAAAATGTACAAATGCCTAATTAGAGTTACAGGACCTACTGGAAGGTGAGGACTTAAAGTAACTAGCTAATACAACATTTACTTAAGTTTTTTATAAACTATCAAACTGGAAAGTTACTCACAACTTTTGGTCTTTCAAAATTGTTGCCACCTCTTGTTTTGCTTCAATTTTGTCAGCGTGTGCCACCAGTGGCTTTTAGCTTCTCTGGGCCGGTTGTTTTACATTATTACTCCCCTTCCTACAAAGGAACGTAAAGCTTGCCCTTAAACACCCAGAAAGAGTTCATTCTCTCTCTCCTTCTGTTATTTGCATTATCATGGTCAACAAATGCTTTCACAAAAACATTCCAAGCCACACAGAGCCCTCCTCCTCCTTAGTCATTCCTTCCATTACCCGAGGGGGGATGGGCCCTGGAGAGGTGGATGATTAGACCCTAACAAAGACAAGACTCGAGGTTATCCTTAAGAGATAGACCACTGCGGAGTTTAGATGGCCAAATTAAAAGTATAGAATCAAATTGCTGTTTGCAGTTCTTATGACTCTGAGTCTGCTAACACTGAAATTCACATCTCCCCAAAGTACCTCAAATAACAAGAATAAAAATGCCAAGAATGAAGTTAGGCTAATCTTTCCAAAGTGTAAAGAAGTTATAATCCCACAATTGAACACACTTCTCAGGGCTTTGTATGTTCTCTTTCCAGTTCAGCCAAGCTCCTGGGGTCTAGTGTTTAAAATACTTTAATTATATCATCTTGTGCGGACTGAAAGATTTTTCCAAAAGACTGGAAAAGTGACTAACGATTCAAATGCATACAACAGTTTGTAACTTAAAAGATATAAGTGAAGACTACTGGTACAGTAGGTAAAGCTGTGTGCATTCACAATACAAATGATCGGACTCCAAGATGGATGGCTACTACATAACAATGCATTCTGGGTTTCCTTGTGATATCTGGAGAAAAAAAAAGCCCGACTGGGTTGCACTATATTTACATGTTTACTGGCTTCTTCCTGGCTAGCACCACTCTTCCCCCCAACCCCCAACATTTTTAAGCTACTTATTTTAAGTCACAGGAATATTCAGTCTAAGAAAAGCATCTTATTAGAGTAATATAATTTCTTAAAGAAGATAGCATATTTACACACATCTAACACATGAAAATACTCTATTTTATACTAAATTCCAGGTTCGAATGAACTACAATACAACATTTTGCCTTGTCTGTAGAGTGAGGATAGTTCCAAATGGGGCATAAGTTGGGCTGTCCCCTGCAGTAATTCACTACTGTCAGACAAGTCCAAATCAGTCCCCTAGTTGGGGACGGAGCAAGGTTTGGACTGAAAGTTTCTAGCCAGTTTGGTTACACATCCACACCTTTGATGAGTGATCCTTCTAGGACTATGGTGAAGTCCTGAATGGTCTGCAGAATTCGGATAAGGGAGTTGACAGTCATGCGGTCTCGCAGGAGAGCGCTCTCTTCATACATTCGAGTGATGGCAGGACACTCGGCTAACAATGGAATCCACTGTGGGAGCAGGCGATCCCTACAGACCCAAACAGAAACAATTCCTGAGCACTGCTGGCCTCGCTGCAGAACAAGGAACAGAGTGGAGCTTTCAAATGGGAAGGTGTGGGGCCGGATGGTACAAAATCTAGCCAAGTAAAGAAGTCAGGAGAGAGGAAATCAAAGCCAAGAAGTTAAATATTTACTAGCAAAAAGACAGTGATGAGACAGTATAAAGCTAAAGGGAAAACCCATGAAGTTCTTAAAGTACATTAGAAAGTCTATGCACATTAAAGACATTCTCTATTCTGATTCTACCACCTTTAGAAAGAGGCAGAATGTCATTTTCTATATCTTTTTTTTTTTTTTTAATAGGAGTGTTACTCTGTGGCAAGGCATGCCACAGCATACTGACCTTTTGGAAGAAAGACTACACTAAGCTGCAGGGATTTGCTTTTTTTTTTTTTTTAATTATTAACTTATACAACATAACAGGGTGAGGAACAAAATCAAAGCAGAAAAACATTAAGTAGATTTTATAAACCAGAAGAGAGTTTGCATTGGTCTAATAAATCAGAAGAGTATAGAGATAAAAGGAGATAAAGATCATGCTCAAAAGAAACTTTAAAAGCACAACTAAAATTGGGCTCCTTTTATGAAGAAGAAATACAGAACTTAGTTGTGTAAACCAGCTGTTTCAGGAGGATAAAACCTCACATCTTCAATGTCTCCTGATCAAACCTGACATTAGTAACCCAATGCTAAGTTCCGAAGATCCTTATTGAGCATACCCAACTAGGCTATCTTCAGACTCAAGTTGGGGCCCTTAAGGTTTAAGAAAAAACAAATAATACATGGATAACTTAAAAAAAGAAATCTAAGGGTCTGTGTGTTTCAATTCCTGCAATTCTGAGAACCGTTTTAAAAATTACAGATTGTATTGCTCCAGTGTGTCACTTTCAAAAAATAAAGGGGTAGGAAATAGTCTTAAAAAGAAAACTAAGGCCGGGCGCGGTGGCTCAAGCCTGTAATCCCAGCACTTTGGGAGGCCGAGGCGGGTGGATCACGAGGTCAAGAGATCGAGACCATCCTGGTCAACATGGTGAAACCCCGTCTCTACTAAAAATACAAAAAATTAGCTGGGCATGGTGGTGCGTGCCTGTAATCCCAGCTACTCAGGAGGCTGAGGCAGGAGAATTGCCTGAACCCAGGAGGCGGAGGTTGCGGTGAGCCGAGATCGCACCATTGCACTCCAGCCGGGGTAACATGAGTGAAACTCCGTCTCAAAAAAAAAAAAAAAAAAAAAAAAAGAAAACTATATTTATATAGAACGAATCCCAAAATGTTCTTGAATGTAAATATGGTGGTATACATACACTATATAAGGTCTACATAGTAAATATGCACGGTGTATGTGTCTAATTATCTAGTAACCTCCCTATTACCTACCTATCTTTGGAGCCAGTTATAGAGTCACGGTGGAGAGCTTGGGCTCTGAAGTGGGACTGGGTGTGAACTGGCTCTGTCTCATTTTTGCTGTGTGACATTGGGAAAGTCTGCTAACTTATGTGTGCCTCACCTATTTTCTATTTTCTCATCTTGAAAATGAGAAAATCTCCTGTCTGGGCCCCTATTAGGAGGTATCCCCCAGTCAGGATACAAAAAAAAAAAAAAAAAAAAGAAAATGAGAAAATGGGTTGCTAACTCATGTAGTGGTTGTGGTGAATTAACCTGAGGAGAGAAGGCAGAGGTTGCAGTGAGCTGAGACCACACCACTATACTCCAGCCTGTTCGACAGAGTGAGACCCTGTCTCAAAATAAAAAGTAAAAAGAAAGAAACCCAAAGGAGAGCTTTGGAAGAGGCGTGAACTGGTATAACTCTTTCTGGATCCTGGTTCAACATGTAGCAAAAATAGGGAAAATAAAAAACTGGTTTTGTACCTTGTTCCAAGGCAAACTAAAATCTGGAATTTGCCATCCTTCCCAATGTTCCTGGGTGCAGTATTAATAGCATTTACATAGTGGCAGAAGGTTTTGCAGGATGATTTCTGAATAAGGACATCATCTTCATTATCTAGAATCTGGTCAGTTGTTTCAAAATAAGCAACCACTTTCTCTGAGGAAAAAAGTCACAATTATATCACAATGTATGTCAACACTTCATATACAGAAAGATTCATCACTTAATTTATTACGGAAACACTAATGATGCTTTGCATACAGCCAGTCCTGAAGCCTGTAACACTACTTTGTCATTGATTTCAGAGGTCCATGTTTCATAGTAGAACAATAAATACGCTCCCAGGAATTTATTTTCTAATCTAGACTGCACTCCAGAAGAGTGGAACATTTACTCCCTTTAAAGTACCTTCACAAAACAGAAACTGGCAAAAAAGAAAAATAACATCTTCTGTTAAGACTGGAACCTTCTAGGAGTAACCAGCAATGACATGGTAGCCATTGAGATAATACCCCCTGTGTTCTAGTTACAGAATGACTGGCTAACACTTTGCAACAAGATCCTTGCAATGTACCTGAATAAATATCTGACGAAGAGAGATATATGTATATACACATGAGAAGCAGAAGCAATAAGATTCTAGGCATTCCAGAAGAAAAAAAAAATCACTCCTGTGGGTCTAGCTCTGTCAACTTTCCTTTTTTTGTCTATTCTAAGTTAGAAGAAATGAACTACTTCATCTAGGCCTTATTTAGAAAACACAAAATGATTAACTGCCCTTTTAAAGAAATTAGAATTCTAGAAGAGTTAAAGAAATCAGGAATTCTAAAAGAAAGATTACAAAACTTAGCAAGCTAGAGCAGACATACCCCAAAAGAGCTTTCTGTGATGATGAAAATGTTCTCTATCTACAAAGTCCAATTTGGTAGCTACATATGGCTACTGGGCACTTGAAATGTGGTCAGTGTTATTAAGAAATGTAATTTACATTTGATTTAAATTAAATACATTTAAATTTAAATAGTGACATGTGGCTAATGGTTACTGTACTGTTCAACACAGAGCTAGAGGAATCCTTTTATAAACATTGGCCAGGCACAGTGGCTCACCCCTGTAATCCCAGCACCTTGGGAGGCCAAGGCAGGTGGGATCACTTGAGGACAGAGTTCGGGGCCAGTGGGGCCAACATGGTGAAACTCTGTCTCTACTAAAAATACAAAAATTAGCCAGGTGTGGTGGCAGGCACCTGTAATCCCAGTTCCTCAGTGGCTAAGGCAGGAGAATCACTTGAACCCAGGAGGCAGAGGGTGCAGTGAACTGAGATGGGGCCACTGCACTCCAGCCTGGTTGTCAGAGTGAGACTCCATCTCAAACAAACAAACAAAAAAGTTCTATCATGTCACTCCTTAGCTCAAAGCCCTCCAACAGCTTCCACCTTCATTCAGGATAAAGGCCCTACACAACCTGGCACTGGCACTAAACACTCCCTCCCCCAATCTCATACTTAACTCACTCACTCTGTGTGTGTGTGTGTGTGTCTGTGTGTGTGTCTCTCTCTCTCTCTCTCTCTCTCTCTCTCTCTCTCTTGCTGTGTTCCAGTCACACTGGTCTTGGGGTTCCATGGAAACACTTCCGCCTTAGGGCTTAGCACTGGCAGTGCTGTCAATACGGAGTCCCTCCTCCCAGATATCTACATGGCTCACTTCCTCACCTACTTGAAGTCTGTGCTCCAGTGTACCTTGACATTCAGTAAAGTCTAAAACCACCCCATTTAAAAGACCACTCCCCACTTTATTTCCTCTTATGCTGCTCTATTTCTTTCCAGATCTTCAGACCTGCCATATGAACTACATATTTGTTATATTTTTGCGTATTGTTTCCCACACTGACCTGAGTATAAGTTTGCCAACCACAGGGATTTCTGTTTTGTTTACTAATGTATATCTTGAGTGACCCAAATAATGTTTGGAATATTGTGCATATTACAATTTGTTGAGTGAATGAAAAACAAAGATAGTACTTATTTGATATTTATTTTTTATTATTATATATACTTTTTGAGACAGGGTCTTACTCTGTTGCTCAGGTTGGAGTACAGTGGCTTGATCATGGCTGACTGCAGCCTTCACCTCTTGAGCTCCTGGTCTCAAGCAATGCTCCTGTCTCAGCCTCCCAGGTAGCTGGGACCACAGGTGTGTGCTCCCACACCCAGCTAATTTAATATTTATTTTAAAAATATATACTCTTAATTCATTCAGATTCCTGGGTCTTTGAGTTTCCTAAGAAAGGCTTCAGTGACCTTAAAGTAACATACATCTGCTTTATTTACCTATGAAGTCCCAGATGAAGACATTCTTGTGAAAGATGCGGGCAGATTTGAACCCATGGTGAAAAACTTGTTCAAGGGCTGCAACCAGGCCATTTTCTCCACACAGCAATACGGTGAGGCTTCCTCTCTGTGGGGTATAACACACAGTGCCAAAGAAAAATCTCCTGCATCTATGTCTAAGAAAAACACTAGAGAAGCAAGTGCTGAAGGTAGCTATATGAAGCATGAAGCATGTTTTTACAGCTACCAGAAAACTTACAAATGAAAATTCAAGCACCCCACATTGCCTCATGTATCACATACAAAAGCATCTTTAAAAGTCCCACTATACTAAGTTTTATAGCCCATAAATACCTCTTTTTCAGGTTTGTGAAAATGTTTCACAATATTGTTCACAGCTTCTCCAATTCCTTCTTGGATCTGCCCAGCATTGGGTTCTGTAAAATAACAAACAGTGGCTGCAGTCTCATGGGAGAGAAATAAACCAAAGTGCTGTGGGACATCAACTGTGTCTACCTTGGCAGGAAATACGTCACCAAAGCAGGCTGGCTTTGCCAGGGGCTCCACAGAACTTGCCTCTGGCCAGTTTGGCCAAGTTGGAAGCATCCTGGCATAATGGAATATAATGCAAGAGATCCCTAGATTCAAACCCCAGCATTACCATCTGCAATCTACAACCCAAGCCTAGTGTCTAACTTCCTCTGAGTTTGAGTTTCCTCAACTGAAAATAGGGAAAATACATGCCTCACTGGGAAAACTGATAAGTTATAGGGGTAAATAACCTAGCATAGTACTTGTCACAAAATGGAAGCAAGCACCCAAGTATAAGAAGCAAGACTGGGAAGTCCCAACATCACTCCTCAAATGTTCCCTTATGCTACCTACCTCCGAGCCCATTAGTGGGCATAGACTAAGGCTTAAGGAGCTCTGGATCGCTAACCCGGAGTTTGAAGATTTGCTGTTGTGTTGCGGGAAGATGCCAGGTACCCTGTGGCATCTGGGCCTGAAGCCCAGAACTCCCTCCCTGGCTAGTCAATCTGTTTCAGCACTGCTTCCTTCTGCCAGCCAGTACTTGCTCTTCTAGGCCACTTTCCTGAGGGATAGGTTGGTGGGCTGCTTGAATGGGACCTAAATCACTTTTGTCCACCAAATCCAAAGATTTTAAAAAAGGGTGGTAAACATTTCAGAAGTAGGTAACAAGAGAAAAGGCATATAGTTCGGATTTTCTTGTAGTTCTAATTTACTTATCACAATGTAAAAGAAAAACTATACATCCTCATGTTTAAGAATCTCTGAATTCGTACTGCTCAAGGATTTCTTGCATAAATGTTTCTAATGCATAAAAACTGTTAAAATGAAAACCTCTTATAATTGAAGTACTGATACCCTAGCCTCTAGTTCCTAGTAGTTTCTTTACCCAGTAGTTTTTTGTTTGTTTTGTTTTCACTTTGATCTTTCTCTGAGTTTCTTTCTTTTAGACATCAAGTCTATTTTGAAAGTTGTCATCCATTCTAAAAGAGCTCTGATTGGTATTATTTGAAAACTGATTAAAAACTTTCAGTTCCCTGAATACCATCTTACATATAACATACTGTGAGAAAATACCCTATTATCCATCCTGAGTCTAAGATCATTTAGACTTTTTTGCTTATAGAGTGAGAAAAGAAAGTTGGGGGATAAAGGCCTCTCAAATAATACCCCCATGAAATTGGACTGATTCAGATGGCATAATAATTTGGATGAATGAAGCTTTTTATTTTTTTATTTTTTTAAAGACGGGGTTTCATGGTGTTGGTCAGGCTGGTCTTGAACTCCCGACCTCAGGTGATCTGCCCGCCTTGGCCTCCAAAGTGTTTGAATTACAGGCGTGAGCCACCACGCCTGGCCAGATGAATAGAGCTTAAACCTACTTTAAAATTTTAAATCAGCATAATTAAAATTTACCATGTAATAAAAGTCACCAATTTTGATGAGCTTTGACAAATGAATAGTCATGTAATGACCACCACAATCATGATACAGAACATTTCCATCACCCCAAAAGTCACCCTGCAGTCTTTTCAGTCAGTTGCCTTCCTTAGCTAACTCCTGACAACCACTGATCTGCATTCTATTATTATAATGCTTTTCTAGAATTTAATATAAACAGAATATATAATACGCCATCTTTTGTTTCTGGTTTCTTTCACTTAGCATGCTTTTGCAAGTCATCCATGTTGTTAGATGTATCAACAGTTCATTTTAATATATCTCATTGGATAGATACCTGACATCTATATCAGATACAGACTGTTTTGTTAATAAATTAAGGACATATTAGGTACGTTTATTATTCTACTTGTGGTTATTAACTATAGCTAAAATAAAGCCCCTTCACTGATAAACTTCTGTAACTTTTCCCTAAATACTGCCTCTATTCATGTTTTGTGGCTGCTTTAATAGACTCACAAAACTTGGTGGTTTAAGTGACAGAAATATATTTTCTTGCAGTCTGGGGGCCAGAAGTCAAAATTTAGTTATCACTGGGCAAAAGAAAAAAAATCAAAGTGTCAGCAGGGCTGCATTCCCTTCAAATTCTAGGGGAAAATTCTTTCCTTGCCTCTTTCAGCTTCTGGTGGCTGTTGGCATTCCTTGTTTTTTGTTTTTTTAAGAGACAGAGTCTCACTCTGTTGCCCAGACTAGAGTACAGTGGCACAATATCAGCTCACTGTAACCTCCACCTCCCAGGTTCAAGTGATTCTCCTGTCTAAGCCTCCTGAGTAGCTGGGATTATAGACGCCCACCACCATGCCCAGCTAATTTTTGTATATTTAATAGAGACAGGGTTTTGCCATGTTGGTCAGCTAGTCTTGGACTACTGACCTCAGGTGGTCCACCTGCCTCAGCCTCCCAAAGTGCTGAGATTACAGGCACTGTAATCTGAGCCACTGTGCCTGGCCAGCATTCCTTGTTTTTTGTTTTTTTTTTAAAGACAGAGTTGTGCTTGCTTTGGCAGCACATATACTAAAAAATTGGAACCATACAGAGAAGATTATTAGCACGGCCCCTGCGCAAGGATGACATGCAAATTCGCGAAGTGTTCCATATTTTTCTCCATACTTGAATATGGAGCGTATGCACAGGTGAAGGAAGTAACATTGTACTTTATAAACACTGTATTGTAAGTGGAAAATGCAATGTCTTAAATAAAACTACTTAAAATTGGCACCAAAAAAAAAAAAAAAAAAAAAAAAAACCAAAAAAACAAAAAACAAAGATTGAGACTCACTCTGTCACCCAGGCTGGAATGCAGTGGCATGAGCTCGGTTCACTGCAACCTTTACCTCCTGGGTACAAGCGATTCTCATGCCTCAGCCTTCCGAGTAGCTGTGATTACAGGTGTGCACCACACACCTGGTTAATTTCTGTGTTTTTAGCAGAGACAGGGTTTTGCTATGTTGGCCAGGTTGGGCTCGAACTCCTGACCTCAAGTGATCTGCCCACCTCGGCCTCCCCAAGTGTTGGGAAAGAATACATGTGACTGCATGTAGGGCCCATGTAGGTAATTCAGAACAATCTCCTTATTTCAAGATCCCTATATCACATCTGCAAATACCCTTTTTCCAACTAAGGCAACATTTACAGATTATATAGATTAGAATTTTATATTCTTGGGAGACATTATTCAGTCTACTAAAGCCCACATTAGTATAAATTAGAATTTTACTATATTACTAAAAATGGTATGTGAACATAGTATAACATTAATAAAATTCACTACTGGCTGGGTGCAGTGGCTCACGCCTGAAATCCCAGCACTTTGGGAGGCCGAAGAGGGCAGACCATCTGAGGACAGGAGTTTGAGACCAGACTGACAAATGTGGAGAAACCCCATCTCTACTAAAAATACAAAATTAGTTGGGTGTGGTGGCACATGCCTGTAATCCCAGTTTAGTCAGGAAAATGCCTGAACCCAGGAGGCAAACGTTGCAGTGAGCCAAGATTGTGCCATTGCACTCCAGCCTGAGCAACAAGAGCAAAACTCCATCTCAAAAAAAAAAAAAAAAAAAGAGAGACACTGGAAAGTTAGCTAGCTAGATATGGCTATCTGGGAATACTATAATATATAACTATTATTATTTCTCCTTTAAGTTTCAGGCAAGGCCAGGTGTGGTGGCACATGCCTGTAATGCTAGCACTTTGGGAGGCTAAAGTAGGCAGATCATTTGAGCTGAGAAGTTCAAGACCAGCCTAGGCAACATGGCGAATGCCAGTCTACAAAAATAATACAAAAATTAGTTGAGTGTGATTTTGTGTGACTGTATTCCCAGCTACTTGGAAGGCTGAGGTGGGAGGATCATTCGAACCTGGGAGGCAGAGGCTGCAGTGAGCTGAGACTGCGCCACTGCATTCTAGACTGGGTAACAGAGTGAAACCCTGATTCAAAACAAAAGTTTCAGGCAAAATATTTACTCACATTTCCACAGCTTAATAAAAACATAGCATGCAGGTTTTTTAAAAATTAGATTTTAGAGCACAGTGGCTCACGACTATAATCCCAGTACTTTGGAGGCTGAGGCGAGCAGAACACCTGAGGTCAGGAGTTTGAATCCAGCCTGGCCAACATGGCAAAACCCCGTCTCTACTAAAAATACAAAAAAATTATCCAGGTGTGGTGGTGGGATCCTGTAGTCCCAGCTACTTGGGAAGCTGAGGCACAAGAATGGCTTGAAGCCAGGTGGCAGAGGTTGCAGTGAGCTGAGATTAGGCCATGTACTTTCATCCTGGGTGACGGAGCAAGACTCCATCTCAATAAAAAAAAAATCTAGATTTTCACATCTAAATTCTTCTGGCTTTGGAATATTTATGAATTTTCCTCAACTTTTTTCTTTTTTAAATCTCCTCACATTTATTAATACAACAGTTTTGGCCGGGTGCGGTGGCTCAAGCCTGTAATCCCAGCACTTTGGGAGGCCGAGGTGGGTGGATCACGAGATCAAGAGATTGAGACCATCCTGGTCAACACGGTGAAACCCCGTCTCTACTAAAAATACAAAACATTAGCTGGGCATGGTGGTGCGTGCCTGTAATCCCAGCTACTCAGGAGGCTGAGGCAGGAGAATTGCCTGAACCCAGGAGGCGGAGGTTGCGGTGAGCCGAGATCGCGCCATTGCACTCCAGCCTGGGTAACAAGAGCGAAACTCCGTCCCAAAAAAAAAAAAAAAAAAATACAACAGTTTTCTGTCAAATGGTCACATGAGGCCTACATGATATGAAGCACGTACGAAGATTTTAAATAAACTATTTACTGTTGTTTTTTCCTGTCAATGAAGTGATGCTCAATCTCCTAGCTGTGGTGGGTGACTTCTGCTGGGGTGGAGTCCGACACTGCTTTACTAGATCTTCATCTGATGCTGATGTCATCAATTCTCCAATTAGAATTCTTTCCAGGCTCCCATCATCAATGCCTTTCCCCAGCCACCGTCCACATGGGAATCTGGTAGGATAGAAAAAAGATTTTTGGGTTTTTTGAGACAGGGTTCTCATTCAGCCCCCTGAGTAGCTGGGACTACAGGTGTTTACCATTCAAACCTGGCTAATTTTTGTGTTTTTTGTAGACAGTGGGTCTCACTATATTGCCCAGGCTGGTCTTGAGCTCCTGGCCTCAAGTGATCCTTCCATCTCAGTCTCCCAAAGTGTGGGGATTACAGGAGCCACTGCACCCGGTCAGAATATTTTCAAACTAGAAATTAATGTGGGAGTTAAGGCAAAGAAGAAAAGAGGACAATGTTTCTATAGAGTAGTGTTGGCTGTGACTGAGATCTTTTCCTCCTACTGAAGTTATTTTAGGCTTTCTTTTTCTGATAGTTATACTAATCTTTTCAACACTTGTGGACTAAGCAATAGCAGCAAACATCTGTTGTTTTAAAAAGTTTTTTGAGGCCGGGTGTGGTGGCTCATGCCTGTAATCCCAGCACTTTGGAAGGCTGAGGCAGGCGGATCACTTGACATTAGGCGTTTGAGACCAGCCTGGCCAACATGGCAAAATTCCATCCCTACTAAAAATACAACAATTAGCGGGGCATAATGGTAGGGGCCTGTAATCCCAGCTACTCGGGAGGGTGAGGCATGAGAATTTCTTGAACTTGGGAGGCCAAGGTTGCAGTGAGCCGAGATCGTGCCACTGCACTCCAGCCTGGGCGACAAGAGAGAAACACTGTCTCATAAAAAAAAAAAAAAAAAAGGTTTTTAGGGGGCAATTTTGTATAACTTAAACAAAAATAATCCCTCCCCCTAACAAAACCGCTAAAATTCAGAAGGCAAGTGGAAGAGTTTAAACAATTCTTAAACCTTTTCTCATCTGAAGAATCTTAAAGAATTCTGAGTTCCCAAGGCCATTTACTTACCTGTACGTATGTCCTGTGATTTCATTTCTGACCATGACACAATCCACTAGCCATTTGGCTAACAGTCCGGAGTTATCATGGCCAATCTGAACAGTGGTCAGCTTCCCCAAGTTCTGGCACTGTAAGGACAGGACCTTAGGTTATTTAGTACCCAATTCCATCCTGCTACATCTCAGCTTTACAGGTACTTTGGTTCTGTCTAATTTAACAACTGCAGAGACCAACCCTACATAATGTATTCAGCTATCCACTAGAGAAATATATTCACATGTATTTCTTGTTCTCAGGGAGCTCCTACATAATGAGATGGGAGACATATGGACATTACCAAATGAGGGGGACTGTACACAGTGCTAGATTAGGGATGTAAAAAGTGCTAGAAGAACGCTGGGAAGGGAACAGTTACTTCTACTTGGGGAACCCAGAAACATGACTGAGACAGTGACTTGTGCCTTGTAGGATGAGAATTTAAAAAACAGGAGGCCGGGTACAGTGGCTCAGGCCTGTAATCCCAGCACTTTGGAGGCTATAATCAAGACCAAGGCCATCCTGGTCAACATGGTGAAGCTCCGTCTCTATTAAAAATATAAAAATTAGCTGGGCATGGTGGCGCACGCCTGTAGTCCCAGTTACTCGGGAGGCTGAGGCAGGAGAATTGCTTGAACCCAGGAGGTAGAGGTTGCGGTGAGCCGAGATCGCACCATTGCACTCCAGCCTGGGTAACAAGAGCGAAACTCTGTCTCAAAAAGAAAAAAAAAAAAAGAAAACAGGAAAAAGATGCTTGCTGTTTAGTTACAGAGAGGTCAAGAAAACAATTATAGATTTTAAAAAGCACGGACACTGATATTTTTCTTTTTAAAAAAAATTTTTGAGGCCAGGCGCGGTGGCTCAAGCCTGTAATCCCAGCACTTTGGGAGGCCGAGGCGGGTGGATCATGAGGTCAAGAGATCGAGACCATCCTGGTCAACATGGTGAAACCCCGTCTCTACTACAAATACAAAAATTCAGCTGGGCATGGTGGCGTGTGCCTGTAATCCCAGCTACTCAGGAGGCTGAGGCAGGAGAATTGCCTGAACCCAGGAGGCGGAGGTTGCGGTGAGCCGAGATCGCGCCATTGCACTCCAGCCTGGGTAACAAGAGCGAAACTCCGTCTCAAAAAAAAAAAAAAAAAAAAAATTTTTGTGGGTACATAGTAGGTATATATATTTATAGGGTACATGAGATGTTGGTATTTTTCTGTTCCAATAAGATACTCAGGCAGAACTGACATCAGACTGCATATACTAGAAGTCTTTGAAGCTATTTATTGAAAGGCATAGCTATCAGTAAGTTATCTTCACTGGCCCTTTGTGGACAAGTACAAAATAAAGCAATGATAATGGGAATAGTGAAAATAAACACTAATTAAATTGTGACTTCTAAAACCAGATAATGAAAAGATCACTGACCCCAACTATGTGTTGGATGAGAACATTAGGATTATAAGTTCTTCTTTTTGGTTAATTTAAAATTTTTGTGGGTACCTAGCAAATGTGTATATTTATGGATTGAAGTATTTTGATATAGGCATGCAATGCCCAATAATTACATCAGGGTAAATGTGGTATCTGTCACCTCAAACATTTATCTTTTGTGTGACAATCCAATTCTACTCTTTTAGTTATTTTAAAATGCATAATTAAGTTATTTTTAACTATAGTCACCCTGTTATGTTAGCGAATACTAGGTTTTATTCACTCTATGTTTTGTATGAATTAGAGCTATGAATTCTTAAAGCACTTTATTCTTTGTATGTCAGTGAGAAGGCATCCCCATGCTCTAGCTCAGGGATGATGGCATCTTGAATTAGTTGTGCAGCAGAACTGGAAAGAAGTAGGTAGATATGAGAGAGACAGCTTAGAAATAGCAATGACAGGATTTTTAATGTAGTTCCATTATTGGCAGATGAAGAAAAGCCAAGGGTTTTAATATTTTATATACAGATGGCTGTGAGTCTACTGCATGGATAAGGCCAAACTGGGCTCCTGGGGGCATCATGACTCTAAGTGGAAACTGCTATTCTGAGACCCCAAGAAACATGCGAATGGGACATTCATTTAGTACCATTTCCTTCCTCAAACACAGCAGTCATTTGTCCTCTTCCTCCACCAAGATCAACCCATGTGTAGGCTCAAACACATGGAACTAACTCACCAAGTAAAACCTGAAAATTGACTACAATATCAAAACGTTGTTTTTTGTTTTGTTTTGTTTTTGAGACAAGGTCTCACTCTGTCGCCCAAGCTGGAGTGCTGTGGCACAAACTTGGCTCACTGCACCCTCTGTCTCTTGGGCTCAAGTGACCTCAGCCCTGCAAGTAGCTGGACTACAGGTGCATGCCACCATGCCTGGCTAATTTTTGTATTTTTTGTAGAGACTGGGTCTCATCATGTTGCCCAGGCTAGTCTCGAACTCCTGGGCTCAAGCAATCCACTCGCTAAGTGTTAAGATTATAGGCATAAGTAACTGCACTCAGCCAAAAGGCATTTTTATAAACTCACTCTATAAATGTCACCATATGTTCTAAAATCCATAAGCACATGCTTGAACCCGGAAGGGAGAGGTTACAATGAGTGAAGATCACATCACTGCACTCCAGCCTGGGCGACAGAGCAAGACTCTGTCTCAAAATAAATAAATAAACAATAAAATAAAATAAATAAAATCCATAAGCATGAATATCAGCTCTCCTGTCCTTTTGCCACAAGATGACCAGGTTTGGGCAGAAAGCATTTTACAGTAGGGAGGAGAACCACTGTGGAGAAAACATTTATTTGAATATTTCTTGCTTGCTAGGATCTGTGCTAGACCCTGAAAATAATGAGAGAGGACCTGGTAAAGCCCCAAAGTACACCATTACGAGTGAAAAATAGAGCTTCACAATGAAAATACAAAACAAATTAGTATACGCTGTTTAGGCATATAATCACAAAAATGATCCTGCATGCTTTGAGTGCTCCTCTATTTTATTTGATTCAAGGAAAAATGAAAAAGCCAGACAGAATCCATCTGTAAAACTACAAGTGATACTTTCTGCTAGAAAAGGTGTTAGCTGAACCTACCTCAAAAGTCATTTCAAGGAGGTTTTTGGGAATCTGCATTACTCCAGTGTCTCCTAGTTCTCCTGATACACAGATCCAGGGGTTTGATGTGATGATTGCATTGCTTAGCTTTTTGATTGGGATGATCACTGACCTATATGGAATCACTGAAAGAAAAACGCAGAAATTAATAAAAAGCTGGAATAAAATTATCCTTATAACAAAACATACATTAAGAACTGTGTTGGTTTTCACTGATAAATTTGCTTTTTATGATCTATCAAGATGTACTTACATGAAAAGTTGAGATCATAAAGTTTCAGTCTGGAAAGATGAGATCTAGTTTGTAAACCAGAAGTTTCAATACTTGTAGCAGTGTTTTTCACAGCATGTATATAATCATGTATGTATGGTGCATATATCACCATTAAATGTATGAATAATCTCATAGTACCAGAATACCTAAAGATATAAACATTGATTGTGCATATTGTTTTAATTGCTTATATTTTCTTAAAAATTAATTTTGTACCAAAATTGAGTAGAAATGAACATGATTACTTATACGGTTTTATATAAAAAGAGGGGTGGATGACTTCTTGGACAGTACCCCACTGTTGCTAAGTTTCTTAGGCAATGCTTTAAAGCACTGGACTTCAGAACTTTCCCATCCCAAGTTTACAGAACAATATGCAAAGCCCACAAATAATAAAAAATGGAACCTCCACTCTAGACATACCATGAAGTCTATAAACCACAACTTGGAAAGCTATTAAGGTGACTCATGTGCAAGAGAAGCCTGGGGAGAGTCAAGACCAGGAAAGAGATCTGTATGAAACCTTTTCCTTCTGAAGGCTCTTCCACAGGCACACCACTAGATGTCACTGTCCTATCACTGTCCTTTGCTCAAATGTGGAAGCACGAAAGGTTAGTTATCAGGCTTGTCCTCCCTTTTTTTTTTGATGTAGAGTCTCTTTCCTGTTGCCCAGGATGGAGTGCAGTGGCGCGATCTCAGCTCACTGCAACCTCTGCTTCACCGGTTCAAGCGATTCTCCTGCCTCAGCTTCCTGAATAGCTGGATTACAGGCACCTGCCACCACGCCCAGCTAATTTTCGTACTTTTAGTAGAGACGGGGTTTCACCAGGTTGGCCAGGCTGCTCTTGAACTCCTGACCTCAGGTAATCTGCCTGCCTTGGCCTCCCAAAGTGTTGGGATTACAGCCATGAGCCACCGTGCCTGGCCCTCCCTTCTCTTTTTAAAAAATGGGGACAGGGCTGGGCACTGTGGCTCAGGTCTGTAATTCCAGCACTTTGGGCGGTGGAGGCAGGTGGATCACTTAATGTCAGGATTTTGAGACCAGCCTGGCCAACATGGTGACACCCCATCTCTACTAAAAATACAAAAAAAAAAATCAGCCAGGTATAGTGGTACGCACATGTGATCCCAGCTACTTGGGAGGCTGAGGTAGGGGAACTGCTTGAACTCAGGAGGTAGAGGCTGCATTGAGGTGCAATCGCACTATTGCACTCTAGCCTGGGCAAAAGATGAGATTCCTGTCTTAAAAAAAAAACGAGGCTAGGGCCAGGTGTGGGGGCTCATGTCTATAATCCTACCTAGCACTCTGGGAGACTGAGGTGGGTGGATCACTTGTGCTCAGGAGTTCAAGACCAGCCTGGACAACAAAGTGAGAACTTGTCTCTATAAAAAAATAAAAATAATAATTAGCCAGGTATAGTGGTGTACACCTGTAGTCCTAGCTACTCAGGAGGATGAGGAGGGAGGATCCCTTGAGGCAGGGTGGTCAAGGATGTAGGGAACTCTGATCCCACCACTGCACTCCAGCCTGGACAATAGAGTGAGACCCTGTCTCAAAACAAAATGGGGAGAGACGGTTTAAGCACATAGTATTTTTGTCCATCACAGCTATACGTTTCTAGTTTTTTGTTTTCTAGAGACAGTATCTAGCTCTGTCGCCCAGTCTGAAGTGCGGCAGCCCAATCAGAGTTCACTGAAGCCCTGACCTCTGGGCTCAAGTGATCCTCCCACCCCAGCCTCCCCAGTAGCTAGGACTACAGGTGCATGCTATTACACCTGGCTAACTTTACTTATTTATTTAGAGATGGAGTTTCACTCTTGTTGCCCAGGCTGGAGTGCAGTGGAATGATCTCGGCTCACTACAACCCCTGCCTCTTGGATTCAAGTGATTCTCCAGCCTCAGCCTCCCGAGTAGCTAGGATTACAGACACCCACCACCTTGCCCAGCTAATTTTTGTATTTTTAGTAGAGAAGTGGTTTTCCCATGTTGGCCAGGCTGGTCTTGAACTCCTGACCTCAGGCGATCCACCTCCCTCGACCTCCCAAAGTGCTGGGATTACAGGCATGAGCCACTGAGCCCAGCCCCTAGCTAACTTTTTTTTAAACTTTTTTTTTTTTTTTTTTTTTTTTGAGACGAAGTCTCACTCTGTCGCCCAGGCTGGAGTGCAGTAGCACAGTCTTGGCTCACTGCAACCTCTGCCTCCTGGGTCCAAGCGATGCTTCTGCCTCAGCCTCCCAAGTAGCTGGGACCACAGGTGCATGCCAACACACCTGGCTAATTTTTTGTATTTTTAGTAGAGGCGGGGTTTCACAGTGTTAGCCAGGATGGTCTCGATCTCCTGGCCTCGTGATCTGCCCACCTCAGCCTCCCAAAGTGCTGGGATTACAGGCGTGAGCCACCGTGCACGGCCAAGCCTTTTTTTTTTTTTTTTTTTTTTTTGAGACAGAGTCTCGCTCTGTCACCCAGGCTGGAGTACACTGCTGTGATTTTGGCTCACTGTAACTTCTGCCTCTGGGGTTCAAGCAATTCTCCTACCTCAGCCTCCCAAGTAGCTGGGACTACAGGTGCACGCTGCCACACCAGGCTAATTTCTTTTGTATTTTAGTAGTGACGTAGTTTCACCGTGTTGCCCAGGCTGGTCTCAAACTCCTGAGCTCAGGCAATCCACCCATCTCGGCCTCCCAAAGTGCTAGGATTATAGGCGTGAGCCACTGTGCCTGGCCCTAGCTAACTTTTTAATTGTTCTTTTGTGGAGACAGGGTCTTACTATGTTGCCCAGGCTGGTCTTGAACTGGACTCAAGTGATCCTCTCGCCTTGGACTCTCAAAGTGCTGGGATTCCAGGCATGAGTCACTGCACCTGGCCTGTTTTATAATATAAAAAAATTTTTTGAGACAGGGTCTCACTCTGTCACCCAGGCTAGAGTGCAGTGGCACGATCTCAGCTCACTGCAACCTCCATCTCCTGGGTTCAAGTGATCCTCTCACTTCAGCCTCCTGAGTAGCTGAGACCACAGGTGTGCACCACTATGCCCAGCTATTTTTTTTTTTTTTTTTTTGTAATTATAGTAGAGACAGGGTTTCGCCATGTTGCCCTGGCTGGTCTCGAACTCCTAAGCTCAAGAGATAGGCCAGCCTTGGCCTCCCAAAGTGTTAAGATTACAGGTGTGAGCCACCTGCCATGTATGTATGTCTGTATGTATTTCTTTGACGGAGTCTCACTCTATTGCCCAGACTGGAATGCAGTGGTGCAACCTCTGCTGGCCAGGTTCAAGTGATTCGCCTGCCTCAGCCTCCTGAGTAGCTGGGATTACAGGCATGCACCACCACACCTGAGTAATTTTCTATTTTTAGTAGACACAGGGTTTCACCATGTTGGTCAGGCTGGTTTCAAACTCCTGACCTCAGGTGATCCACCCACCTCGGCTTCCCGAAGTGCTGGGATTACAGGCATGAGCCACTGCGCCCAGCCTTATATATTTTTTAAGATGGAGTTTTGCTCTGATGCCCAGGCTAGGGTGCAGTGGGGCGATTTCGGCTCACTGCAACCTCCACCTCCCAGGTTCAAGCGAGTCTCTTGCCTCACCCTCTGGAGTAGCTTGGATTACAGGCATGCGCCAACTATGCCCAGCTAATTTTTGTACTTTTAGTAGAGACAGCATTTCTCCATGGTGGCCAGGCTGGTCTCAACCTTCTGACTTCAGATGATCTGCCACCTCTGCCTCCCAAAGTGCTGGGATTACAGGCATGAGCTACCATGCCCAGTCTGGTTTTCTTTTTAAAGTAGGGTAGAATCAGTATTTTTTGTTGGTATCCTTGGTATTTCTTCTCATTTGATCATAAGAGGGGGGGTGTTTGAAGCCCTCCTTGAAAGATCTACACATAGGATGAAAAACATTTACTGAAGGTGCCTAGATACAGCCTGACAGTATGAGCTCATGGTTCAGTGCACTCTTAGATGAGGAAAGTGCATCAGATAAATGGTTCATTTCCTTAATTTTACATAAATGGCTTTCTTTATGTTAGGTGAATAGTCTCCATTCATGTCCTTTTATTTTGGCTCAGAGAAAAGGCCATACTTTTATGGTTTAGTAATCATCAGAATCAAATGAGTTTTGAAACTGAAAGCGGAAGAGGTTAGCATAAGACTATTAAGTGCCAGAGGCTTCTCTCATTTCTTGCATTGATAGGATAAGAAAACCTGCAGAAAAAGGCATGTTTAGGGTCAGCAGTTCTGTGGCTGCAAAAGGCCCACAGATGCACAACAGTGATTTCATAGTTTAAGTATGGAAAAGCAATATAATTAAATTTAAAATTTTCTTTCATGAAGAATTCCTCAAATTGAAAGAGTTACTCAGATGAAGGGAAATCTACAGATATAAGGAGGACCTTAGGAATCCTAACAACCTCTACTACTATTTCTTCTTATTTATTTAGAGATACAGTCTCACATTGTCACCCAGGCTGGAGTGAAATGGCGTGACCTTGACTCACTGCAACCTCTGCCTCTCAGGTTCAAGTGATTCTCCTTTATCAGGCTCCAGAATAGCTCGGACTATAGGCACGCACCACCACGTTTGGCTACTTTTGTATTTTTTGGTAGAGATGATTTTTCACCATATTGGCCAGGTCAGTCCCAAACTCCTGACCTCATATGATCCACCCGCCTTGCCCCTTCCCAAAGTGCCAGAATTACAGGCGTGAGCCACTGCACCTGGCCTCTTCGATTTTAAAACTGTATATAACTTCTTAGTTTCTTGTACCTGCAGTAACCTAATCAACAAATAGTAACTTGACAGGATTATAGGCTGGTCTAATCCCCATGCCAATTCTCTTTTCCTTTGCCATTACCAGAGACTGGAAAGCTAAACCTACACAATTCTGGCCAGTGAAATGTTAGTGATATTTATTGAGATTTTTTGGAAAATTATGTCTTTCTAGCACAGATTCTGCCCCTCCCTGGCACTCTCTCCTTCCTGCTAGAAGGTATGTTGAGAACAGCCATGCTGAAACCATGAGGTAACTAGCACACACGGAGCATGTCTAAGGGAGAAGGGACAATGAGCCTGGGTCAGTGACAGCACTGCCCACTGCCTACCTTGAGACCTTTATTATGTAAGTGAAATTACTAAGCTGTTTCAACCATAGGTTTTCAAGTTTCTGATACCTGCCACTAAATGCAATCCCTAATTGATACAAGTCAAAATTCTCCAAAGTAGGAAAGAAGACCCATTGCAAATAAGAATTAGCAATGAAGAAAAGAATAAATGCTATATTTCGGCCTTTTTTTTTTTTTTTTTTTTTTTTGAGACAGAGTCTTGCTCTGCTGCCAGGCGCCAGGCTGGAGTGCAGTGGCGTGATCTCGGCTCACTGCAACCTCCACTTCCTGGGTTCAAGCAATTCTCCTGCCTCAACCTCCTGAGTAGCTGCGACCACAGGTATGCACCACCACGCCCAGCTAACTTTTGTATTTTTTAGTAGAGATGGGATTTCACCATGGTCTCGATCTCTTGACCTCGTGATCTGCCCGCCTTGGCCTCCCAAAGTGCTGGGATTACAGGCTTGAGCCACCGTGCCCGGCTATATTTCAGTTTTCTATAAAAAAAATACCTCTCTTGGCCAGGTGCCATGGCTCACGCCTGTAATCCTAGCACTTTAGGAGGCTGAGATGGGTGGCTCACCTGAGGTCAGGAGTTTGAGACCAGCCTGGCCAACATGGTGAAACCCTGTCTTCACTAAAAATACAAAAATTAGCCGGGCATGGTGACAAATACCTGTAATCCCAGCTAGTTGGGAGGCTGAGGCAGAAGAATTGCTTGAACCCAGGAGGTGGAGGCTGCAGTAACCCAAGGTCACGCCACTGCATAGCCTGGTCAACAGCACCAGATGCTGTCTCAAAAACAAACAAAACAACAACAAAAAATCTCCAGGTGAGGCATGGTGGCTCATGCCTGTAATCCCAGCACTTTGAGAGGCTGGGGCAGGTGGATCACTTGAGGGAGTTTGAGACAAGCCCGTCTCTATGGTGAAACTCCGTCTCTACTAAAAATATAAAAATTAGCCAGGTGTGGTGGGGTGTGCCTGTAATTCCAGCTACTTAGGAGGCTGAGACAGGAGAATCACTTGAACCCGGGAGGTGGAGGCTGCGTTGAGCCAAGATCATGCCACTGCACTCCAACCTGGGTGACAGTGAGACTCGGTCTCAAAAAAATATAAAATAAAACCCCAAAGAACTCCAATCAGCATTTCCTTCCAAAGTTGAATGATGTCTAATTATATAAGTTTATTATTATCATATACAGATACTTTGAATTTATGTGTTTTAGTTAAGATACTGGAATATTCATTTATAAAACATTCCTTTTCACATATATTGTAGGTAACATTTCCTATCAAAGACTGAGTTTCTTGGAAAGCAATCTCTGAGTCAGAAATTAGCATGCACAGTGCTGCTCCTGGGATCAACGTGTGAGAAGGAGAGCAGGACTGGTTAAGCAAGATGTTAAGCTTTGAGGCAGTCTCAGTGAAGTCCTCATCTGACCCCCATGGTGAGCTCTGGGACTAAGATACAGCCCTTTGTTCAGTCATGCTAGCTGGCCTTGGCAGAAGGGATCATCTCTAGTGAGGTACTTTTCTTTAGTAAGGCATTCACCACAGCCTGACAGCCAAGAGTTTCCTGTAGCACTCCTAGCATTTGGGGAATATTCTTTATTCCTAAACAGAGATCTGGGGGTATGTCACAGTGTCACATGTACTAAGGCATATCTTGCGTTTAAAAATATAAATGCTTTTATTCCATTAGTCACCTCAGTAACCCCTCACTTAACAGTCAATTCTCTAGACTTACTGATAGTAGTGAACACACTGGTGAAGCAGAAATAGTCCACAGCATTGAGAGAAAGAAGGTGGTAAAGAAACTGCTCTCTCTCTTCTTCACAACGTAGAAAAGCATATCGCTTATAAAGCTTCCTAGGAAAGGGTAAGACAAGCACAAGACAGTAGTGTCAAAGAAAAAAAAAAGACAGTAGTATCATGTATTTCTCATGCTTTTTATTATGTCTTTCTGTTTTTTAGATGGAGCTTCTCTCTTGCTGCCCATGCTAGAGTGCAATGGCATGATCTCAGTTCACTGCAATCTCCGCCTCCCAGGTTTAAGCAATTCTCCTGTCTCACCATCCCGAATAGCTGGGATGTGCCACTATGCCCAGCTAAGTTTTGTATTTTTAGTAGAGAAGGGGTTTCATCATGTTGGCCAGGCTGATTTGAACTCCTGACCTCAGGTGATCCACCTGCATCAGCCTCCCAAAGTGCTAAGATTACAGGCATAAGCCACTGCGCCCGGCCATCTTTTTTTGTCTTTTGTTTTTTTCCCATTATGTCTTCTTTTTTCTAAGATGGGGTCTTGCTATATTGCCCAGGCTGGCCTTGAACTCTTGGACTCAAGTGATCTTCCCGTCTTAGTCTTGCAAAGTGTTGGGGGATTATAGACATGAGCCACTGAGCCTGGCCCCCATTATGCCTTGGCTAAAAATAAATAGCTCCTCTTAGACAAATACCTTTAATCTTGAAAGAATAGATAATTTGGCTTGGCATAGTGGCTCATGCCTATAATCTCAGCACTTTGGGAGGCAGAGGCAGGTGGATCACCTGAGGTCGGGAGTTCGAGACTAGCCTGACCAACATGGAGAAACACTGTCTCTACTAAAAATACAAAATTAGCCAGGTGTGGTAGCGCATGCCTGTAATCCCAGCTACTTGGGAGGCTGAGGCACAATTGCTTGAATCCGGTAGGTGGAGCTTTCAGTGACCTGAGATTGCACCATTGCACTCCAGCCTGGGCAACAAGAGTGAAACTCCATCTTAAAAAAAAAAAAAAGAATAGGCAATTCATTAAAAAGGACAGTTAATATAACACTTTCAATTTAACTAGTAATTAAAGAAAAAATGCATCTATTTTAGTAATTAAAGAAGAGAATGCATCTATTGTATCTATCAAACTAATAAAGACTTAAAAGTGATGACCAGTGTTGACAAGGAAGAAATGAATGCCATTCTCACAGCTGATGGGACTAAAAATTTCAGGAAAGCAATTCAGGTAACAATTATTTTAAACCAATCATATCCCTTGACTCATCAATTTTACTTTTTAGAACTCAGTCCTAAAGATACAGATGAAATGGGGCAAAGATTTCATTAAACACTTAAAGTCTATTAGTGTCCCCCCGCCCCTTTTTTTTTTTGAGATGAAGTCTTGCTCTTTCACCCAGGCTGGAGTGCAGTGATGCAGTAACAGCTCACTGCAGCCTTGACCTCCTGGGCTTGAGTTACCCTGTCATCTCAGCCTCCCAAGCTGCTGGGACCACAGGTGCATGCTACCACGCCAGCTAATTTTTTATTTTTAGTAGAGATGGAGTCTCACAATTATTGTCCAGGCTGGTCTTGAACTCCTAGGCTCAAGGTGTTCCTCCCACCTTGGCCTCTCAAAGTGCTGGCATTACAGGAACCACCACGCCCAGCCTGGTGTCATTTTAAAGATGGGGAAAAGAAAGATACAGGAAAGTTAAGTATCTTGTCCAAGGCCATTCAAACAGTAAATAGGGAAGGCAATATTCGAACACAGGCATTTGGACCTCAGAGTTTAAACTCTTGTGATATGGTGAAATGTTTATGGTACACTGTTAATCTAATAAAAAGGATGATATTTAATTGCAAATATAGTATATCTTAATAAGCGAACATGCATAGCAGAAACGTACAGAAGAAAATGTGAAATACTCAGTATTATTCTTTATATAGTAGGATTATAAGTGATTATCATTTTCCTCTTTGTACTTTGGCCTCTATAGGCATAAATAACTTTTTTTTTTTGAGATGGAGTTTCACTCTTGTTGCCTACACTGGAGTACAATGGCATGATCTCGGCTCACTGCAACCTCTTGCCTCCTGGGTTCAAGCAATTCTGCTGCCTCAGTCTCCCAAGTAGCAGGGACTACAGGCATGTGCCACCATGCCCAGCTAATTTTGTATTTTTAGTGGAGACAGTGTTTCTCCATGTTGGTCAAGCTGGTCTCGAACTCCTGACCTCAGGTGATCTGCCTGCCTCGGCCTCCCAAAGGGTTGGGATTACAGGCATGAGCCACCTAGCCCAGCCTTTATTTTTTGTTGAGACAGAGTCTCGCTCTGTTGCCCAGGCTAGAGTGCAGTGGCATGATCTCGGCTCACTGCAACCTTTGACTCCCTGGTTAAAGTGATTCTCCTGCCTCAGCCTCCTAAGTAGCTGGGATTACAGGCATGTGCCACCATGCCCAACTAATTTTTGTATTTTTAGTAGAGGCGGGATTTTACCATGTTGGCCAGGATGGTCTTGATCTCCTGATCTCGTGATCTGCCCGTCTCAGCCTCCCAAAGTGCTGGGATTACACACATGAGCCACCAAGCCTGGCCAATAATTTTTATAATTTGAAAAAAAACCCAAACATACAAAAAACAAAAAAATGCCAGTTTTAAGAAAACAAGATCAGGTTTACAGGCTATATGTGACGCTTTATTGTTTATCAAACCTACTCTTTGGACATTAAGACTCATCTGAAAATGCTCCAGGGGGTATGTAATCCAAGTGTGATGTGTACAAATGCAAAATTACAAAAAGCATTGGGTTACCATGATGAGACTCTAATAGATGTCATGTTTGAGGTCTTTGTTGAATTCTCTGCATAACTTTGCTCCTGAGAAGACAAGTCCTTAGCCTTCAAGTTAGCACTAATGTAAATAAAAGCAATATATTTCATCCAAGACAGCGTCTTCTTTTTCTTTCTGAGACAGGGCCTCGCTCTGTTGCCCAGGCTGGATTGCAGTGGCACAATCTTGGCTCACTGCAACCTCCACCTCCCAGGCTCAAGTGATTCTCGTGCCTCAGCCTCCCAAGTAGCTGGGATTATAGGCATGTGCTACCACATCTAGCTAATTTTTGTATTTTTTGTAGAGACGGGGTTTCACCATGTTGGCCAGGCTGATCTCGAACTCCTGACTTCAAGTGATCTGCCTACCTTGGCCTCCCAAAGTGTTGGGATTACAGGTGTGAACCATTGCGCCTGACCTCAAAGTTTCTTGATAGAGTAAATAGAAGCAATTAAAACACTTAACAATTAGCTGACAAGTACGTCACCGGTTTCCGGGCTCTAAACCAGCCGGCACCAGGGACTGGTTTCATGGAAGATAATTTTCCTATGGCCGTTGCAGGGGCGGGGGATGGGGAGGTGGATTCAGAATAAAATTGTTTCACCTCAGATCGTCAGGCATTAGAGTTGTGCTCCTTTGATAATCTAATGCCATTGATCTGACAGGAGGTGGAGCTTTGGTGGTAATACCAGCTTGCCCTCAGCTCATTTCCTGCTGTGCGGCCCTGGTTCCTAATAGGCCACCAAGCAGTAATGGTCCATAGCCCAGTTGGGAAGCCTTGCCCTAAACTACTGAATGCAAGGCTCTCAGAACAAGCCCTTTACTGGGACCTCCTTATAGTATTTTGTTTTTTCTTTTTTTACTCCAGGTTTTGTCTGTATTTTTTTTTTTTTTTACAATATAATGTTTATGTAAATTCAAACTATCTTTTGGATGTTACCATCAGCTTGTGTAAACTAGCTAGCTTTTTGCCTGATTCTAGCAGAGCAATCTGGCCTTTTTTTTTTTTGAGACAGAATTTCATGCCGTAGCCCATACTGGAGTGCAGTGATGCGATTTTGGCTCACTGCAACCTCTGCCTCCCAAGTTCAAGTGATTCCCCTGCCTCAGCCTCCTGAATAGCCAGGACTACAGGCGTGTGTCACCACACTCTGCTAATTTTTGTATTTTTAGTAAAGACAGAGTTTTACCATGTTGGCCAGGCTGGTCTTAAACTCCTGACCTCAGGTCATCTGCCTGCCTTGGCCTCCCAAAGTGCTGGGATTTTTTGAGACAGAGGTATTGCTCTATTGCCCAGGCTGGAGTGCAGTGGAACAATCTTGGCTCACTGCAACCTGTGCCTCCCGGGCTCAAGCAATCCTCCCACCTCAGCCTCCCAAGTAGCTAGGACTATAGGCACACAGCACCACACCTGACTAATGTTTGTATTTTTTGAAGATACAGGGTTTCACCATGTTACCCAGGCTGGTCTTGAATTCTTGGACTCAAGTGATTCGCCCACCTTGGCTTCCCAAAATGTTAGGATTACAGGTAATAGCCACCACACCCAACTGCACTCTGGGCTGTGGCTGTTAAATTTGGTGTGTCCTCCCCAAAATAATCAAGTATTACATCAAGACAGGATTTTTAAAGCACATGCCTGTTAGATAAAGAAGAACGCATGTGCACAGGAAACAGCACTGCATACTGAAGAAGCCAGTTTGTCAGTTTATGCAACTTGCTTTGTATGCACACAGGTATGTATACAAAAATGTAACAAATGTATCAAATTTGAAACAGAAATGTATCAAAGATGGTATCTTACTTGGTGAGTGGTTGGTTAGAAAGCAACTGCTTAAGGTGCTGGGACAAGAGCTTCTTTTCTAGAGACAGTCTTATCCATGCCCGAGCTCGTCCAACATCAGTCTTGATCTCACTCATGTTCTGAATATGCCTAAAGAATAGTGGCAACATCAAAGATACAGATCTTAAGGATAACCCTGACTAGAAAAGAAGAGTGAATAGTACTGGATACAGAAAGGATTCTTTCCTACTTAAAGGAAGCAATGGATAATATACAATTGATGTTAATTAAATCTTTGAAGGTTCTATCTGAATCATGAAGTTAGTCTCACATCATAATTGCCATTACAACACAAGCACATAGACAATGTCGTAAGGTAAAGCATTTAACACCCATTCACTCTTTCAGGCTTTATTATGTCCTTGTAGCAGACTCATAGATACCTGTAAACAAGCATTTGGTTATTCCTGATTCTCAAAAAAAAGTAATGAAACAGGGTGAATACTTGTTTCTTTTCAAAATAATTGTTCTATAGTGTAATTGAATATCAGCCACAACTTTAATCCACTGAATTACTTTTCAAGTTGCACTGGACAATATATGGAAAATATGAAATTTTACTTTCTATGGCATTAGAGAAAATAAGTTAGACTGTACTGATAATCTTTAATTGGTTAATTATTTTTAAATATTTTTGAAATACAAGGTCTTGCTATGTTGCCCAGGCTGGTATCAATCTCTTGGTCTCAAGTGATTCTCTGCCCTGAGCCTCCCAAAGTGCATGACTCACTGCACTTGGATCTTATGACCTTGCTTTAAACCCATACATTGTTAAGAGTTGACTAAGTATTGTACCTAAAATATTTAAATGAAAAAAGTCTCTGCATTTCTCAATAAATCTGTTAGATATGGCGATGTCTTGTAAAGATTTCTTAACAGTAATTGCAAGTCATGATTCTCAGATTCTGTATTTGCTTCAAACTAAGTCTACCTGATTGCAACTGTTCTGCCACACATCCTGCCATTATTTGTAATTTTTTTTTTGTATCAGTGGGTAGTAGGTATTTAAGGGAGTTTTAAAAACTGAACAAAAGAAGCTATGAAACAGTTTAGGGTGGGCACGATGGCTCATGTCTGTAATCCCAGCACTTTGGGAGGCCGAGGTGGGAGAATCACTTGAGCCCAGGAGTTCAAGACCAGCCTGGGCAACATAAGACTCTGTCTCTACTAAAAATCAAAAAAATTAGCTGGGCATGATGGCAGGTACCTGTAATCCCAGCTACTTGGGAGGCTGAGGCAGAAGGATTGCTTGACCCTGGGAATTGAAGCTGCAGTGAGTGGTGATTGCATCACTGAACTCCAGCCTGGGTGATAAAGCAAGACCCTGTCTCAAAATTAAAATTAAAAAAAAAAAAATAGTTTAGAGATGCTTTAACTCAGCTGCATTTTCCATTTGAATTTAATGTCAGGAAAGGATACAACGGTATAAAAATAAAATATAATCCCAGCACTTTGGGAGGCCGAGGTGGGTGGATCATGAGGTCAAGAGATCGAGACCATCCTGGTCAACATGGTGAAACCCCGTCTCTATTAAAAATACAAAAAATTAGCTGGGCATGGTGGCACGTGCCTGTAATCCCAGCTACTCAGGAGGCTGAGGCAGGAGAATTGCCTGAACCCAGGAGGCGGAGGTTGCAGTGAGCCGAGATCATGCCATTGCACTCCAGCCTGGGTAACAAGAGCGAAACTCCATCTCAAAAAAATAAAATAAAATAAAATAAAAAAATAAAAAAATAAAAATAAAATAAGCAAAATCATAAAAAATGCTTCCTTCAGAATACATAAGCAAAAAATACACAATTATTTAAGCAATTTAGTTAAAAGCCACAAAATACTTGAAAGTTATCAGCGCGTGCTAACACATGTATTAATAACAAATACCTCATGTCCTGGATAAGAGAGACCCTGAGCGTTGGCAACATAACTCCTGAGTCAGATTTTCTTCTTTCTGGTCCGAGGGCAACTGTGTAGAAAAATATCAGCAACATATTAGAAAAGTAACAAAAAATGTACATAGTTCATACTAAATACTTTGAAACTGTTTTGATAAGAACAAATTTTAAAAACATTTAAATTTTAAATTAAAAAATTTTTAATTTTAAAAACTTAAACTTCAGGGCATACACCAATGCATCTTTTTTTTTTTTTTTTTTGAGATGAGTCTTGCTCTGTTGCCCAGGCTGGAGTTTAGTGGTGCGATCTCAGCTCACTGCAATCTCCACCTCCCGAGTTCAAGCCATTCTCCTGCCTCAGCCTCCAGAGTAGTGGGATTACAGGTGTGCGCCACCATGCCCGGCTAATTTTTTAAAATTTTTAGTAGAGATGAGGTTTCACCATGTTGGCCAGGCTGGTCTCAGACTCCTCATCTCAGGTGATCTGCCTGCCTCAGCCTCCCAAAATGCTGGGATTACAGGAATGAGTCACCGCACCTGGTCTCATTTCTACTTTTTTAACAGAAAAAAGTGGCAGAGGAGAGGGACACTAGAGAATCCTTTTAAACTTGATCTGGATCTTTATAAATATAGTTACAGCCAGGGACAGCAGCACCTTGACATTCTGATTACAGGAGCTCCATGGAAATGTAGTAAACTCATATTCCTAGCTGTCTGATTAAATACATTTTAAACACTACATTTCTAACAATAAACACCACATTTAGGGTAGTGTTGCCTTCTAGAGGCAGTGAGGGAAAAGGAATTAAGGATGAATAAAAGGGTCTTTAAGACTAGCACAGTGGCTCATGCCTGTAATTCCAGCACTTTGGGAGGCCAAGGTGGGCGGACCTGAGGTCAGGAGTTTGAGACCAGCCAGACCAACATGGAGAAACACTGTCTCTACTAAAAAAACAAAATTAGCTGGGTGTGGTGGCTCATGCCTGTAATCCCAGCACTTTGGGACACTGAGGTGGGTGGATCACTTGAGGTCAGGAGTTTGAGACCAGCCTGGCCAACATGGCAAAACCCTGTCTCTACTAAAAATATAAAAATTAGCTAGGCATGGTGGTTAGCACCTGTAATCCCAGGAACTTGGGATGCTGAGGCAGGAGAACTGCTTGAACTCGGGAGGCAGAGGTTGCAGTGAGCCAAGATTGCACCACTATACTCCAGCCTGGGTGACAAGAGCGAGACTCCATCTCAAAAATAAAAAATTACTTTTTAAAAAAAAATTTGTGAATGTGCAAAGTAATTCATACTTTTTGAAAAGGTTCCAAAATGACTGATTCAATATAAAGCATTTTATCTCAATTAGCTTCCCACAGGTACCTCTACTTTTTGTGAAATAAATGGTTATTTTACATAAAGAGAAGCAGGCTCCCTGTGTTGTTGCGAAAAATACTAGTAGGTAGAACACTTAGCTTAAGAAACCCTACATAATTCTAATTAGCTAAAAATTAAGATACCTCTAACATGTTATGTCATCTATAAATTGAAAAAGAGCTTTGACTCCTGAAATTTTTGAGACATATGTACACATTTTTTCCCTGAAAAATCATTAATGCTGGTTATAAAACTTTTTTTTTTTTTTTTTAATGGAGTCTTGCTCTGTCGCCCAGGCTGGAGTGTAGTGGCACCATCTCACCTCATTGCAACCTCTGCCTCCGGGGTTCAATTGATTATCCTGCCTAAGCCTCCTGAGTAGCTGGGACTACAGGCATGTGCCACCACGCCTGGCTAATTTTTGTATTTTTAGTAGAGACGGGGTTTCACCATGTTGGCCAGGCGGGTCTCAAGCTCCTGACCTCAAGTGATCCGCCCGCCTTGGCCTCCCAAAGTAGTGGGATTACAGGTGTGACCCTACACCCGGCAATAAAACTTTTAAGAAAAAAAATATTTTAATGCTAGTGAGAGTAATGTATACTTGCAGGGTTGTTTACAATTCATTGGGGGTTTTCACACGATACCTTACTTGATCAGCATGACAGTTTCAGCCTAGCTAATCTTATTTTCCCTATTTTATAGAAGAGGAAGCAAGAGATCAGAAAGGGCAAATGATTTTTTCCAAGGTCTCACAGTTAGTAAGTAATATTGCTCCTTCTACTTTATCCCATTATTAGCAAAATGAGTAAATTTTAGCTTGAGAGAGAAAGAGATCAAGACAAGGCCCTACAGTATTGCATCTTCTCATAGTCCAATGCTGCCAGTTCTTCATCAACGATCTCATACCTGGTGATTCTGCAAGGTGCTCTTGTTTCTCTTCTCTGTCCTGAAATTGAATTAAATGAGACCACAAAGCCGACTTCCCCTGAAAGTACAAGGTGTGTAAACATTTCATTTTATAAGAAACAATTCATCAAAAAATAATTTCTCATCCAAATCATTCATATTCCAATAGCCATTTAGAAGTTTGGTGACCCAAGCTAAACCATTCCTAGCTGTGTGACATTCTGAGCATCTTCTGCATGTATTATAAAGTTCATCCTTTGCCTCACTGAGAAAACTGGCAAGAGCCTGGGGAAGGGAAGCAGCTAAGCAAAGGGGCAGCATGGGAGGCAAGAAGATTTCTGATGTCAGCTTAGTTGTTACTTAGTTGTATGTAATTAGGGCTGTCTACAGTGGCTACATTAGTAACCATGGAATTAAAATGCTGTAGCAGAACAGAATGTACTTGTGTACATTTATATGTAAAATATGTTTGGATATATGAAGTGGTAATGACAGCAATAAATCGAAGTGAGAAAAGAAAGAGAAAAAGGGAGGAAGAAACATGTACACATCAGGAAAAAAAACCACAATGGGAGACTAGAGAGACAAAAGCAAAGAGATCATTTGAATTTTTTCCACCCTGAATTATTAGATAACTTAAAATGGTAAGGAACTGTTAATTCTGGTTACTAGAGTTTTTTCCTGGACAGTGACAAAAGCAAACATTTAATGGAACTTACTAGGGATACAGCCTCTGCAATGAATGTGCTATTTTATCCTTTCCTGCTTAGCAGGAAAGATCCCCAAACCACCTCCTGCTCGTGGGTTATATTTTCTTTTTCTGAAATTAAAATGCCTGTGGCACTTTTCTGGTCCTCTTGTGACAAAATAACCTACTTTTTTTTTTAATGACATATTTTTCTTCTTGTTACATTTCTTCACAGGGCTCTTAACTGGCCATGTCACCAGGATCTCATAAACTGTTACCTGCTTGACCTGCAAGCCATGGCTCCATATCCTCTCCAGCAGGTCACAGAGGCTGGCAATCAAGGTATTCTCCTCCAGGCCAGTGATGTTTGCTTCTCCATGGCCAAGTTCCACCGCTTCGTGTCCCATCTTCTCTACCAACATGCGTTTTGTCTAAGAATATCACGTGCAGTCATAAGGTACCCCAGCAGTGAAATTGAAACCAACAAGTCAATTACTGAAGTAGGAGACTTGGCTTCCCTTCATAATACTTCTATTTGCAGATTTGTAATCACCTTGGATTACAAATCTTAATCTCTGTGTGGTCAACTAACTGGAGTAATGTAATTTATATGTTACTATTTTGAAAGAGAAATGGAGTGTGACTAGAGAAAATAAGGTAATATTTATAAGTCATCCCCATGTTAAAAAGATGCTTATATACAACAATTGTCAAATTATTAACTTCTGTGATATAGGGGAATTACATCAGACCTAGAAATTGTGCTGTCAGGGCTGGGTGCAGTGGCTCACTCCTATAATCCCAGCCATTTAGGAAGCTGAAGCGGGTGGATCACCAGAGATAGGAGTTTGAGACCAACCTGGCCAACATGGTGAAACCCTATCTCTACTAAAAATATAAAAAGTAGCCGGGCAGTAGTCGTGTGTGCCTATAATCCCAGCTACTTGGGAGGCTAAAGCAGGAGAATTCCTTGAACCCAGGAGGTGGAGGTTGCAGTGGGCTGAGATCACACCACTGCACTCCAGCCTACTGGGTGATAAAGTGAGACTCTGTCTCAAAAACAAACAAAAAGAAAATGTACTATAAGAATATGGAACCCCATCCTGCCACCACAACCTGCCCTATCACTGTCCCAGCATCTTAGCATACATACTAAAGATTCTTGCATTTAGTTTGACTGCACTTAGGTAAAAACCACAATAAAAATGGGCAGCTCTAAAGTTTTTGAGAACTCTAATTTGTGAATGAACCAGGACTTTCCTTCTCTTTTCCTTTTTTATCTTTTCTTCGTTCATCGAGCATGTACCAAAAAATGTAAAGAAAATGGAAATCAGTTTCACTTAAGTTAATTTGCATCAGTCTTAGTAGCTTTTATAAAACGTAAGAACGAGAATATAGCTCTTTTAGGCGAGAATTTTAATTCACCACTATATACTGATGCTGAAAACAGTGTATTTATTGAATATGCAGAGAAGGTACTCAATGACTGTCAAATAAATCAATAAAATTATTAGTTAAAATGATGTTTTAAGTTTTGTCAATTTGTACTGCTACCTCCAATAAACAAAGATATCTGAGAAGACTGTTGTGCAATATTTACAAACCTGCAACTCAGCTAAGGTCTTTTTCCTTATGGGAACACAAACCATGTATAGACACAAATAAGGTTACACACAGGTACATACACAGAAACAAAAGTGTTGTCTTTCACATAAGATGACAACATTCCTGATGCAATTACAAGCGGTTTAAGACCTCCTCATGTTGGAGAGGAGGACAGCAATATCTGAAAAGGTGAGAAAGATAGCACAAGGCTCTCATGTCACTGATTCTGCGGTCAGTGGAGAACCCATGAAGGTTCAATGCCCAAGTAAAGAGCACATGAGGTCAATGCCACAGTACAAGTTTTCTTCTAGCAAAATTACATGCTTAAATGGGGGTTAACTCAGTTCATCTTAGCTTCACACATGGTGTAAACATGAATGCACCACTGTCTGGCATCAGTGAATAATACATACCTTCATTCTACATTCTTTTAATAAGCCTTCTACGAATTTCCAGTTGGTCTGTGCAATCACTGCAGGAGAGAGGTCTGACAGTTTGGGCTGCCTCAGGTTTTTTCCTAAACTTCGTGCCTCTTGCATATATTTCTAAAAATTAAGGAGTATTTTTAATGCATAAACATTAGCTATTCTTCTAATCTTCTTAACCTTATACAAACAAGTGCAGAGACAAACAAAATGCAAAAAAGTCCATAAGTGTATGTGCATAACAACAATTAAAGTTTTGGTGCACCAAAAGATAGAAGACGCTCATATGCCACCCCACAACAACTGTTAACTCCTGTGAGAAGTAAAGTGACAGAAACTCCATCAGGTTAAAACTCATTCAAAGTGAGATGACACTTCATTTCATTTAGTCTTTTTATTGGGAATACAAAAGATTGTGATTGTCAGGATTGTGGTTGGGATAAAAAAATTTAGGTGTCTGGATTACAAATCCAAGGTTCTGCAGGAGCCCAGTGGTTCTCGGATCACTAGTTTCCTCCATTCCTTTCCCCATATAGCAAGAGACTTAACATACCTCTAGCCTCCTGGGAAGTGCTCTCCAATCTAACCCTTTGCTCTATAATCAAGTCACAACAGTAAAATCAGGAGCTCTAGAATCTGGTTGTAACTAATTTTATGACTCAGGCATATCAACTAATGTTTGTGCATCTCAGTTTGTTAATTGGGCATAAAACACGCCCACCTACCTCCCAAAAAGGCCATAAAATCACTCTGAAAAGCACGATGTGCTCCAAATGAAGGAGGCCTCTTTCTGTGATGTTTTTGCTAAAGCCCTACCTTGCCTGGTTGTATAATCAAGAGAAAGTGGAATTACAGTGTTACTTTTGGGGTTTATGGTAACTCTAAGGTATCACAGAAACTTAATCAAATGCTCTTGAGTTTTGGAGTTTGTGAATTTCTATTAAAATCACTACATGTGATTAGTGTAAGACATATGCTCTCTTTTCTTTCCATGCTGCCTATAAAAGTTCATCCAAAGACTGGGAGGTGGCTCATGCCTATAATCTCAGCACTTTAAGAGGCCGAGGTGGGTGGATTACCAGAGGTCAGGCTTTGGATACCAGCCTGGCCAACAAGGTAAAAACCCGTCTCTACTAAAAATACATAAATTAGCCAGGCATGGTGGTGGATGCCTGTAGTCCCAGCTACTTGGGAGGGTGAGGAAGAATAATCACTTGAACCCAGGAGGTGGAGGTTGCAGTGAGTGGAGATAGCATCACTGCACTCCAGCCCAGGCAACAGAGTGAGACTCCATCTCAAAAAAAAAAAGTTCATCCAGATACCTTATGTTTACATCAGCATCACACAGCAGAATTTTCTAAAATGTCCAAATGTCTTAGGACCATATTTAGAAAATAAGTGCTCTACATTATATAGTAAAACTAGCAGTTTATTGGCTGGTAGGGGGAGGCAGTGGGGAGACAGAGACTGCAAGCCGGCACATCCTCCCACAGGCACATATGTGAAATCTATCCCTACTATCTTCAGAGGACTTGATATTATAAAAGAAGATGTGTAAAATCTTTTGCATTCTTTAAAAAAGAGAATTTGTACATGTAATATATTTCTCCTTTGGAAGAAAAGTAATCTGTCAAGTCTGGTACAAATAGAAAAAAAATCCCACTGATTAGGGATTCAACTGATCAGTTTACCTGCTACTTCCCAACCTTTGGGATAAAAGGCAAAATTAATGAAATAATGTCTTTTTCCAGTCCAGTCATTTTAATAGTTGTCTCTAATTCTCAAATTCCCCTTCTTTCTTTTACCCTCTTAAAAATGTTTGAAGCAGAAAAAGTACACATAAATGGTATGGGAACTAAATGTCTGCAGAGTTTATTTTATTTTTAAAATCTATCAACTATTACCAGCAGAGAAGCCCAATGTAATAAGGTCTATGTAAACAGCCTGAAGGTTAGTTAGTTGTTTTTTGTTTTTGTTATATTTTTCTTGAGACGGAGTCTTGCTCTGTCACCCAAGCTGAAATGCAGTGCCTTGGTCTTGGCTCACCGCAACCTCCGCCTCCAGGATAAAAAAGCAATTTTCCTGCCTCAGCCTCCAGAGTAACTGAGATTACACGTGCCCGCCACCACACCCGGTTAATTTTTGTATTTTTAGTAGAGACGAGGTTTCGCTATGTTGGCCAGGCTGGTCTTAAACTCCTGACCTCAAGTGATCCACTTACCTCAGCCTACCAAAGTGTCAGGACTACAGGCGTGGGCCATTGCTTTTTCTTTCTTTCTAAGACAGACTCTCGCTTTGTTGGCCAGGCTGGAGTACAGTGGTACAATCATGGCTCACTGTAACCTCCACCTACCGGGTTCAAGTGATTCTCCTGCCTCAGCCTCCCAAGTAGCTGGAATTATAGGCAGGTGCTACAACACCAGGCTAATTTTTGTATTCTTAGTAGAGATGGGGTTTCACCATGTTGGCTAGGCAGGTCTCGAACTCCCGACCTCAAATGATCCGCCTGCCTCAGCCTCCCAAAGTGTTGGGATTACAGGTGTGAGCCACTGCCCAGCCTGAATACCGTTTTTGTTTGGTTTTTGGTTTTCTGAGACAGAGTCTCACTCTGCTGCCCAGGCTGGAGTGCAGTGGCATGATCTTGGATCACTGCAGCCATCGCCTCCCAGGTTCAAGCAATTCTCCTGCCTCAGCCTCCTGAGTAGCTGGGACTACAGGAATATGCCACCATACTCAGCTAATTTTTGCATTTTTAGTAGAGATGGGGTTTTACCATGTTGTCCAGGCTGGTCTTAAACTCCTGTTCTTAAGTGATCTGCCCACCTTGAACTCCGAAGTACAGAGATTAAAAGTGTGAGCCGCTGCATCAGGTCCCTGAATACTTTTTAAAGACAATTATTGGGTTAAAAATTAAGGACTGTCTGCCAGGCACGGTGCCTCATGCCTGTAATCCCAGCACTTTGGGAGGCCAAGGTGGGCAGATCATGAGGTCAAGAGATTGAGACCATCCTGGCCAACATGGTGAAACCCTGTCTCTACTAAAAATACACACAAAAAATTAGCTGGGCTTGTGGGGCACACACCTGTAGTCCCAGCTACTCAGGAGGCTGAGGCAGGAGGATCACTTGAACTCAGGAGGCGTAGGTTGCAGTGAGCTGAGATGGCACCAAGATCACACCACTGTACTCCAGCCTGGAGAGAGTGAGACTCTGTCTCACTCTCTCAAAACACAAACAAACAAATTAAGCCCTATTTAAAGTTTATGTCCTGTTTTATATAAATGAAAACAAGTTAGATGGCGGCTCTCCTTTGAGTGACCAATTTACTGAGCTCCTAGCACATATGTGGCAGGTACAGTTATTAGCCAACAGTGGATTCCATAGGGCCATGTGCAAAGTCTTCTTCTGAGCATCTCTGCTGGAGCCACAGAACTAGCAACATTCTATGGACATGAACAGAAAGGATACCAGGGGCAGCAAGCATCCTCTCTTCACAGAAAGAAGGGAGGCTGCCTCTGCAAGTTGCAAAAACAGAGCAAGTGCCTCTAAAATAAACAAGTGATGATAAAAATATCATCTGGAGGCCGGGCATGGTGGCTCATCCCTATAATCCCAGCACTTTGGGAGGCCGAGGCGGGTGGATCACAAGGTCAAGAGATCGAGACCATCCTGGTCAACGGGGTGAAACCTCATCTCTACTAAAAACACAAAAATTAGCTGGGCATGGTGGCGCACGCCTGTAGTCCCAGCTACTTGGGAGGCTGAGGCAGGAGAATTGCTTGAACCCAGGAGGCAGAGGTTGCGGTGAGCCGAGATCGTGCCATTGCACTACAGCCTGGGTAACAAGAGTGAAACTCTGTCTCAAAAAATATATATATATATCATCTGGAGGAAAAAATATATTTCAAGATGAAAAATATACAAGAGACACCTTTCACAAGAAATGCTTTTATAATAAAGTCTAGAAGTAACCCCAGATTTCTTCTGAGATTACTACTATGTTCTTTATTTCTGCTGAAGACAAACACAACAAACTACTAGGAACTACCTATGAAAATGTTTCCTATTATTCGGCCAGGCGAGGTGGCTCATGCCTGTAATCCTAGCACTTTGGGAGGCTGATGTGGGCAGATCACCTAAGGTTGGGAGTTTGAGATCAGCCTGACCAACGTGGAGAAACCTCGTGTCTACTAAAAATACAAAATTAGGTGGGCAGGGTGGTGCACGCCTGTAATCCTAGCTACTCCGGAGGCTGAGGATGGAAAATTGCTTTAACCAGGGAAGTGGAGGTTGCGATGAGCCAAGATTGCATCACTGCACTCCAACCTGGGCAACAAGAGCAAAACTCTGTCTCAAAAAAAGAAAAAGAGAAAAAAAATATATCCATCCTATTACTCAATAAACACCAGACTAACTGCTCTTTAATACAGGCTCTCCCAGAATTTTCTAATAAACACCCTAGCCCTTTACCTGGTGTTCAACTTGTTAAGAGAATACTGTTGTAAAATAAAGTAGATTTAAGCTAATATGGAGGGAAAATAGAAGCAAGATTCTAAGTTTCTTGTGGCCTCAAGTGAACTGCGGTTAATGCAAGCTGGCATGCAAGGTAAATGGAAAGAATAGTGGCCTAGAAGTCAGGATTCCTGGGCTATAGGCCCAGCTCTGTCTTTGTGTGCTTTTAACTCTGGGCAAATCTCTTGAACTTCAATTAATCATGTCAAATTGGACAAGATGACCTTAAAGATTCCTCTTGGCACTGAGATTCTATGTTGATGACCGAATTTTCTGACTACATAAAATACACACCAGGAAGGGGAAGTTAAAATTCTGTAGAGATAAAAAGTCCAGCAAAAGAAAGGCTATTTAAAGTTGAATCACATCTGTACTTCTAGAAAACACTTAAATAAAGGGGAGTTTGTATATTTAATACATTTTCCCTTTTGAAGTAAAGCAATTTGCTATCTGGCACCAAAAAAAATCCCAGTGATCAGAGATCCGAATGGTTAGTTTTACATGTCAGCAGCATAGAATTACTCATATTAGCACACAGAAACACAGAAAGGGACTAAACACAACAGGAAGCAGGAAGCAAAACGGGGAGTGTGAGTTCACATCACAAGGTCATGTGAGGCATTCTAGAGCTATATGCACTCACACATATGTAACATTCAAATAACACCAAAGACAAGATTGGGGAAACATCTGGTAAAGTACTTTCAGGCAAAGAACATACCAGGCAGCACTCAGAGAAGGATTTTTTAGGAAGTCGTGCAGGAGGAGGTAGACCCTGATCCCACTCCCAGAATGCCATGGAGTTCTGACAGACCAAAAGTTCCCCGGAAGGCTAAGAGGATGGAGAAGTGCCAATGACAGAAAAGCAAAAAAGAAAAGGAAAGGGAGAAAGAGACAAGCAGAACAAGCATGCATACGGTAAAATCACAGCAAAAGAGAGGGGAGAGAAAAAAATACAGTAGCAAAAAATAAAAACAAAACACTACACAGATGATGCTTCAGTTCTTAATAAAATGTTTAAAATCACACATGTATGAACACAAAAACAGATGTTTGGAATGTTTTCTGCTTTATTTCTATAAATTTGATTCTAGAAAACAATGAACAGGTTTTCTGACTACATCTTTCTTTTGATCATAAGAAATAGGCTGGGTGTGGTAGCTCACATCCATAATCCCAATATTTTGCGAGGCTGAAGCAGGAGCATCACTTGAGCCCAGGAGCTCGAGACGAGCCTGGGCAATATAGCAAAACATAAGAAATATATATATATATGTATTTTAATTGTGGCAGATTTCAAAAAGAAAAAAAAATCAAAACTTACTTGTAATTATTCAACTGTATAATTATGGTTTTATTTACAAAGAGTAAAAGTATAAGGATCTAAAAATAATTTCAGAACACTTTCAAAAATATAAAGTAGATTTAGATATTCAAGGAAAAAAAATGGTGCCAGCAAAGAATAAAGCATAGGCAAGTACATCACATTACTTACTATAATTAAATTATGCTTAAAACTTAGAAATGTCTACACTTCTCCAGTAGACAACTTTTCTCCCTATAGGAGACATAGTAACTAAAAATTTATCCTAAACTTGATCTTTACCTGATGTAATACACAGAAAGACTTGTTTTAGAGCCTTATTTTAGATGTCTTGAAATTACAAAAATTGGCCACGCATGGTGGCTCACACCTGTAATCCCAGTACTTTGAGAGGCCAAGGCAGGCAGACCACAAGGTGAAGAGATCAAGACCATCCTGGCCAACATGATGAAACCCTGTCTCTACTGAAAACACAAAAATTAGCTGGGTGTGGTGGTGGGGGCCTGTAATCCCAGCTACTCGGGAGGCTGAGGCTGGAGAATCAATTAGACCCGAGAGCTGGAGGTTGCAGTGAGCCCAGATTGCACCACTATACCCTAGCCTGGTGACAGATCAAGACTCCGTCTCAAAAAAAAAAAATTACAAAAATGGAAAAAAGGGTGTTTCTGCTATATGTCTGTACAAAAGGATTCATATTTTAAACTATAAGTAAAGTTTTTTTTAAAAGAATATTAAGAATCTACACAATGACATCTGCTGGAAGGAATAAGCCTAGTTCATGGCGCTTTCTTTGAGGCACCCTAGGAAGGCAGACCACATACCTCCCTCAAGTCGTTGTCCAGCCCAACATGCTCAGAATGCTGGCGAAGGCGTTCTTTCCTGCGCTGTGCAGTGGCACTCCGATTTACCCAGCGACTGAAACAACCAAATTATTTAAAAATGTGTTCCTTATCTTTAAAATAGAAATAACCATTCAACACAAAAGGCTGACATACACATTTTAAAATCAATTCTTTAAAGAATAGCAGCTCTGTTAAGATATAATTAAAATACCATACCATGCACTCATTTAAAGCATACAACCCAATGGTTTTTAGTATCTTTCCAGATATGTGCTGTTATCACCACAATCAGTACTTTTAAAAAACGAGGTCAGGCCAGGTATGGTGGCTCATGCCTGCAATCCCAGCACTTTGGGAGGCTGAGGCAGGTAGGAGGTCAAGGGATAGAGACCATCCTAGCCAACATGGTGAAACCCTGTCTCTACAAAAAATACAAAAAATTAGCTGGGCATGGTGGCGCACACCTGTAGTCCCAGCTACTCAGGAGGCTAAGGCAGGAGAATCACTTGAACCCGGGAGCCGGAGGTTGCAGTGAGCCGAAATTGCACCACTGTACCCTAGCCTGGTGACAGATCAAGACTCCGTCTCAAAAAAAGATGTAAAAAAAGGCACAGTATCAATACTTATATATATAACAATAAGTAAAATAGTAACCAAGTTAGTCCTTGATTATATTAAGATACATAATAGGAATGCCTTAACTTGCTCAAAGTAAATACTATGAATGTTTTTTAATACAAAGGAGAATATTCTCAAAATCCTTAATATAGAATTACTTAATTCTAATGTCAAGTTTCCAACTTTTCAAGGAAATATTTCTACCAAACTTGGCTGGGTGCAATGATTACACCTGTAATCCTGGTACTTTGGCTTGATCACTTGAGGCCAGGAGTTTGAGACCAGCCTAGGCAACATAGTGAGACTCTGTCTCTACAAAAAAAAAAAACTTAAAAAGTAGCCTCCTTAGCTACCTGGGAGGCTGAAGTGGGAAGATAATTTGAACCCAGGAGTTTGGGGCTGCAGTGTGCCATGACTGCATCCCTGAATTCCAGCCTGGATAACACTGGTATCTCATTTCAAGAAAAATAGAAAGATTCAAACTCGCAAGGGTGAATCCTCATCTGTAAAGTCTAAGGGTTGCACTCAAAGACCACTGTGTTTCCTTTGCTCTAAAATTTGATGGTTGTGTTTCTGTGAAGTGATAGCTTATGTTTATCAGTTTTTTAAATAAAATATTTATAATATAAGCTCAGTATCAAAATATGCAGGACAAATAAGTTTAAAATCTGAGCTCTTTTCCATGGCCTATAAAACTCAAAATATAAACAGACCTCAGACCTCTGTTTTGTTCCCTCTGATCTGTTATCACTTTTCCCCTAATTATTATGTTCTAGTATAGTAAGCTCCATTGTTTCTAAATGATTAATAAAATCAGTGCTAGTTCTATAATAATCTTCTCTGCTGTTGAACTGCTGGTATCAAAACTGCCTTTCAGATGAGACCAAGTGCATTCAAGGTGGTATGGCCAGAGATGTATGTTGCCTTCCAGCTCAAATACCTTTGTTTTTAGGTAGTAATGATTCAACTCATATGCCCTAGACCCAGACCTGCCCTAGGTGATATGGTGGGCTTAAAAATATATAACCTTTCCCTTATTCAAAGGTCCTTTTGTGGCCAGCCTAGCTACCTACACGTTCCAGCTTAGTGTATACAACTCAACCACCCAGCAATTATCATCTTTAATCACTTCTTTCTATCATCTTTATTCAGTGAAGAATTTGGAACCAGGCTGTTTTCTTCTCTGCTATGGGAAGTACAAAGACTATGTAGATAACTTAGTCTTAAAATTCTGGGGTCGTCTAAAATGCAACTTAACCACCAGTCCACTTCAGCTGCAACCAGGATATCACACTAAATCAAGTAGTCATCCAGAACTCCTCTACCTCAGAAATCCTGAACTCCACCATCTTAGGCACTGACCCTCTCTCCATTGCATTAGCTCTTCCGTGCCTTGACTCTCACTTAAGACCCCTTGTGCTTTTTAGTAGAGACAGGGTTTCACTATGTTGGCCGGGCTGGTCTCAAACTCCTGACCTCAGGTGATCTGCTCGCCTTGGCCTTCCAAAGTGTTCGGATTACATCACTCTGCCCAGCCCTAAAAATTCTCTTGATGAAGCCACTGAAACCCCTAACTGCCAAGTCCAATGCCTTGTATTCAATTCTTAGCTTACTCAAACCCTCTTCTATATTTAGTACTGCTGATCACTCTACTTTAAAGCCCCTGCAATTTTCAACCTCAGTGTTTCCAATGGGATAAGCTCTCTCACCTCTGAGCCTTTGTTCATTAAGTTTTCTCCCAACTTTCACTTACCTTTCAAATAGATTAGAGGCCACTTTTTTCCAGAAAGTGTTCTATGACTCTTCCAAATCTAAGTTAACTACCTGTTCTGTACACCTCAATTATAGTTATCTATCACAGAATTTTATATTTATCTCCATTTTCTATAAAATCTCCTGTAGAAGGGCCAGTATCTTGTCTGTCAGTCATCTTACTGGCAAAGTCTACTGTATCACCTGCCCCTTCTATAACTACAATTAAGTAAACAGAGATGCAGTCTAACATGTAGGTTTACAGATATTCATCACAGCATATATATATATGTAATAACAAATTGTATTTCCTTTATCCTAAGACTCACATTTTAGCTTTTAAATGTTCTTGAAATTAGGATGCATCTTTTAGTCCATATGCATGTTTAGTATATAATTCTTCCTAAAATCCTTTGAGTTAATTGCAGACCTTTCTTTTTTTTGGCGGGGGGGGGGGGGGGGGGTTTCACTCTTGTCACCCAGGATGGAGTACAATGGCGCAATCTCGGCTCACTGCCACCTTCACCTTCCGGTTCAAGTGATTCTCCTGTCTCAGCCTCCCAAGTAGCTGGGATTACAGGAATGAGCCACCACGCCAGGCCCCAGATTTTTCAATTAGCAGTAGAATCAAGTAATATACTCAAAACAACCTAAATGATCAAGAGTAGAGGGTACTATACAATGAAATCTCATGTAGTCACTAAAAAATTCAAATTTCTAATAATAAATAAGACATGAGAGTGCTCATGATACAGTAATGAAAAAAGGTACAACATTCTATAAACCTTTGTTTCAAAAATAAGGTGTGTGCACTCCCGTTCTCCTGCTCCCCCATCCTTGCTAAGTAAGAGCATAGTATCACATTTTAACATTCCATGGTGATGGCATCCTGAGTGATTAAAAATTAACCCCATCACTTTCTAACATTCCAAATTATTTCTGAGACAGTCTCACTCTGTTGCCCAGGCTGGAGTGCAGGGGCACAATCTCGGCTGACTGCAACCTTTGCTGCCCGGGTTCAAGTGATTCTCCTGCCTTAGCCTCCCAAGTAACTGGGATTACAGGCTCCTGCCACAGTGCCTGGCTAATTTTTGTATTTTTAGTAGTGACAGGGTTTCACCATCTTGGCCAGGCTGGTCTTACCTCCTAACCTCATGATCCACCCGCTCGGCCTCCCAAAGTGCTGGGATTACAGATGTAAGCCACCGTGCCCAGACAATATTCCAGATTTTTAAAGAGCAAACACTGTATCAACCTATTTTTAAATTTTTCTCAACTCTTACCTATCATCCTCATGAACTGTATTCATTGCACTATCCTAAGAATACTCTTGTTTTTTTTGGAGACAGAGTCTCACTTTGTCACCCAGGCTGGAGGAGAGTGGCTGCAACCTCTGTCTCCTTGGTACAAGCGATTTTCGTGCCTCAGCCTCCTGAGGAGCTGGGATTACAGGTGTGCACCGCCATGCCAAACTAATTATTGCATTTTTAGTAGAGACAGGGCTTCACCATGTTGGCCAGGCTGGTCTCAAACTCCTGGCCTAAAATGATCCACTGCCCTCAGACTCCCAAAATGCTGGGATTACAGATGTGAGCCACCATGCCCAGCTGAATACACTCTTGAGTACATCCTGGACAGCATGGAGCTAGATATAATTTTAAAAATTACCACTTTTGCCACTCAGAAAAAGTCATATTACTGAAAACAATTTATTATTTTTGTTAATAAAGAATCCAATTTGGAAAAAGCTTAACATGAGAATACTGCTTCTTTTGTTGCTTTAAAAATATTTTACAGCTGGGCATGTGGCTCATATAATCCCAGCACACTAGGAGGCTGTGGCAGGAGGATCACTGAGTCCAGGAGTTCAAGACTACCCTGGGTAACATAGGGAGATCCTATCTATACAAAACAAAGAAAGTTAGCTGGGCATGGTGGCATGTGCCTGTGGTCCCAGCTATTCGGGAGGCTGAGGCAGGAGGATCACTTGTACCTGAGAGGTTGAGGATGCAGTAAACCATGATCGCACCACTGCACTCCAGCCTGGGCAACAGAATGGGACCCTGTCTCTAAAAAAAGAAAAAGAAAAATTTACATATGACTTTCTATCAAGCTTTTGAAAAATCTTATTTCAGTCAGCTATTTAGAGAACACTGGACAATGATTTTACAGTGGTATCAAGGAAGGTAGCCCCTTTTAAAATAAATTCTTAAGAAAAGAAATAGGTTTATATCAGGGAAAAATGTGCAAAGATCTAGTTACAGTTCTTTAAAGTGGAATCCTTGGAAATGTCTCCAAAGCAAAAGATCAATGTAACATTGTAAAAAGGATACAAAAAGAATCTAGGGTGACTGAAAACAATGATCCATAAAAATCACATTAAGATCTGAAACAGAATATAAACAAAAGCTAAAGAACTTTAATGGGGAAGAATAAAATATAAATAACAAACAAAATGTACAAGGACCTGGGTGGATATGGAGGCCTTGAAAATAGGCCTGTAGCAAAAAAGGTTAGTATAACACAAAGTTTGCTCAGGGATTTTAAAAATTAGGGTTAATGGGCAAGGTGGTCCAAATAAATAGTAAAAACATGAAACAATATAAATACTAACTAATGAATTTATATAATAAATGAAAGGAAGGTGCAAAAATATAAATGGCATAAAATTGTGCTCTTGGCAGGCTGAAAAAGATAAACTTAAATATAACTAGCTCTTACTATATGCTCGGTGGGACAAAATGGCCTACTTAATTTTATTGTCAAAACGGGGAAATGAGCACTGCTTAAGAAAATTACTATGAAGTCCACACATTCCTGATCTTGTTAAGTAATTAATTCATTCTCTGCATTATTAAATTTTATTTACTGAGCGTAATTTCACCAATGATGATCACAATTGCTGAAATACTAAAGACTGCTTATTTGCTTCTGTGTTGCAAACAGCATATAAAGTTCTCTTTAGCAGTTGATCTACCATTTACACAGGCATGGTTATAAATCCATTTACCCTGCAATTAGTTCTGAGATCTTTTCTCTTGACTATAACCTACCTGAAAATGTAATGACTGAGGCTTAGTGTGGAAATGGGAAACTGTAAGGATTATATATAAGGCAAAAGGAAGAAAATAAGGCTATAAGATATCAAAATTAAACTCTTCCCTCCTAAATACTCCCTACTTTTCTTCCCCACTGTTTTTCTTCGTAACTCTTATCATCTGACATATTATTTGACATACGAAGTTCCTTTTTTTGTTTATTTGCACTTGAAAGCAGAGATTTTTGTTGTTTTGTTTATTAATAAACTCCTGGTGACTAGGACAGTCCTCACATATAGTAGGAGTTCCATAAATATTTGCCAAATGAATGAATGAACAATCTAATGCCATCAAAAGGAAAAAATACTGTTAAACTAAGTCTATCCAGATCAACGTGATTCAAACAATTAGGATACTTCACAAATAAAATGAAAAATAAACAGATGGCTAATCTGTTCTGATGGAAAATTCTCAATTCTCATCTATTACTGAAAAATAGAATATTGTATCTAGTACCATTATCTGGAAAGTTTGAACCCTCACAACCATCAATGTCTATTAAGACTTTTTTTTTCTTTCCTTTTATTTTCTTTTTTTAATAAAGATGAGGTCTCACTATGTTGCCTCTGCTGGAGGTTATTCACAGGCACAATCATTGTGCATTGCGGCCTCTAACTCCTGGTCTTAAGGAATACTTCCTCCTCAGCCTCCCAGTAGCTAGTACTAGGGAGTGCCACCACACCTGGCTTCTTAGCACATTTTTTAAGTTCAGTGTTTATAAAAGCATGGCCAGCCCTTCACTGGAGGGTGAAACCCTGCAAACTAAGGTAAGTACAATAAAAATGTCAGTCATTAGTTACTCATTTCTGTCTTGTAAGCAACATATCAAATCCTCTTAAACAACTTTCCTCCCCAAGACTTTTAGTATAAAGATTTGCATTTTCTATAAGAGGAGAAAATTTCATTCTGAATATGTAATTTTTCCATATTTCCAGTGAACCATTCTCTAGTACTGTCTTCATTAAAGTTAAGATAGCCTTTTAAATGAAACGTCAATCAAATGAAGGGTTTTTTGTTTTTGTTTTGGAAGAGGGTCTTCACAAGGTCATCCAGGCTGGAGTGCAGTGATGCAATCACATCATGGTTCACTACAGCCTACACCTCTCAGGTTCAAGTTATCCTCCCACCTGAGCCTCACCAGCAGCTGGGACTATAGTTGCATGCCAGAATGCCTGGCTCTGCCTCCCAAGCTCAAGCGATTCTCATGCTTTAGCCTTCCAAGTAGCTGGTATTACAAACATGCAACCACCACACCCAGCTAATTTTTGTATTTTTAGTAGAGACAGGGTTTTGCCATGTTGGCCAGGCTGGTCTTAAACTCCTGTCCTCAAGTGATCCACTCACTTAGGCCTCCCAAAGCGTTGGGATTACAGGCGTGAGCCACCACGCTTGGCCTAATTAAAAAATAAAAAATTTGTAGGGGCTTGACCTGGTGGCTCATGCCTGTAATCCCAGCACTTTGGGAGGCCAAGGATGTCAGGTTCCTTGAACCCCAAAGTTTGAGGCCAGCGTGGGCAACAAGGCAAAATCCTGTCTCTACAAAAAATAAAAAATTAGCTAGGCATGATGGCATGTGACTTTAGTTCCAGCTATTGGGAGGCTGAGGTGGGAGGATCACCTGAGCCTGGGGAGGTCAAGGCTGTAGTGAACCAGATTGGGCCACAGCACTCTAGCCTGGGCAACAGAGACCTTGTCTCAAAAAAAAAATGTATTTTTTTTTGTAAAGACAAGGTCTTCCTATGTTGTCCAGGCTGGTCTCAAGCTCCTGGGCTCAAGTGATCCTTCTGCCTTGTACTCCTAAAGTGCTGGGATTACAGGCATGAGCCACTGTGCCTGACCCAAGGTTTTTTTTGAGACAGGGTCTGGCTTTGTTGCCCAAGCTGGAAAACAGTGGTGATCATAGGTCACTGTAACCTCCAACTCCTGGGCTCAAATGATCCCCCCATCTCAGCCTCCCAAGTAGCTAGGGATACAGGAATGTGCCACCACGCCCAGCTCCAAATGAAGTTGTTGTTGTTTTTAATCCACAATTCTTTTTAATACTATTTTTATTTTTGAGACAGGGCCTCACTCTGTCTCCCAGTCTGAAATGCAATAGTGTAATCATGGCTCACTGTAGCCTCAACCTCCCGGGGCTCAAGTGATCCTCCCACCTCAGCCTCCTGAGTAGCTGGGACTATAGGTACACACCACCATGCCCAGCAGACAACTTTTGTATTTTTCTTGTAGAGACGGGGTTTGGCCACATTGGCCAGGCTGGTCTTGAACTCTTGGCTCAAGCAATCTGTCTGCCTCAGCCTCCCAAAGTGCTGAGATTACAAGCGTGAGCCACCATACCTTGCCGCAATTCTTTTTTTTTTTTTTTTTTTTTTTTCTTTTGAGACAGAGTTTCACTCTTGTTACCCAGGCTGGAGTGCAATGGCGCGATCTCGGCTCACCGCAACCTCCGCCTCCTGGGTTCAGGATACCTTCTTAGGCTCCATCTTCCCTCTTGAAGAGCTAAAGAGAAAAATTTTTGAAGAGAAAATTTTAGTACCAGTATCCTTTTAAATACTTTTAATAAAGGAGTACCAAACAGTAAAGTAAAAGAATTGTGTGGTGCTCCATTTTTTAAAAGTATTTAAAAGGATACTGGTACTAAAATTTTCTCTTCAAAAATTTTTCTCTTTAGCTCTTCAAGAGGGAAGATGGAGCCTAAGAAGGTATCTTGCTACCCAAAGTACTACCCTGTCTTCTCTGGAAGCACTCCTCTTAACAGAGCCCAGTTTAAGGCAGAGGTGGGACATTTGATGGCTCTTTCACCTGGAAAGATCTCATTAGCTTGGTGTGACAGGGTGTTGCTAAGCTCTCATGTTCTCCTAAAGCTGGCAAAGGCAAGGAAGGATCATTCTCTAGAAGCCTCGAAGGCAGCATGGCCATGCCAATTCCTTGATTTCAAATTTCTAGCTCCCAGAATTGTGGAGGAATAATTTCTGTTGTTTTAAGCCACTGAGTTTGTGGTTTCTTTGTTACAGCAGCCCTAGGAAACTAATACAGATGATAAAGGTCTAAGTTTTCTAAATTCCATTAGACAGTATTATCATTATATTTAAATTGCCATTTAAAGTGTGGCTTTTCCAAGTGTGGCTTTTTCTTGAAAAAGAAAAAAAAAGTCTAGTCTTTGGATTTTTTTTAAATGATGAATTTAAAGGTCAAGTACTCACAGAAATGTCAATCCATATTTCAAATGCATTAATGTGGTTTTGAAAAAATTAAGCAGGTAGATTTTTAATAGTTAAGCATTGTCCATTTGAGTTGCAGAGCATCCCACCCTTCATTCATTCCTTCAACCAACTACTCAAGTGAAGAACATGCTTACTTGTTATTGGTTGGTCCTGTTGCCAAGACATCGGACTGTAACTTTGGAAAGAACCCCTGCTCATATTTGCCTTGACCAATTTTCATATCAAGTAGATGTGGGTGGATTGCAGTGTGATCCATTTTCATCAGTCTCTGCTCAATTGACTGGGCTACAAATTAAATTTATAATAAATTAGAGACATTTCATTGCTAGCCCTTCAAAAATAATGCTTCTTCCACTCATGCACCTACAGAGAACCCAATCACTCTGACATTCTGAAATTGTGTGTGTGTGTGTGCATGTGTGCGTGTGTTTTGAGACAGAGTTTTGCTCTTGTTGCCCAAGCTGGAGTGCAATGGCACAATCTTAGCTTACTGCAACTTCTGCCTCCCAGGCTCAAGCGATTCTCCTGCCTCAGCCTCCCATGTAGCTGGGATTGCAGGCATGCACCACCACGTCCAGCTAATTTTGTATTTTTTGTAGAGATGGGGTTTCATCATGTTCGTCAGGCTCGTCTTGAACTCCTGACCTCAGGTGATCCACACTCTTCAGCCTCCCAAAGTGCTGGGATTATAGGCAAGAGCCACTGTGCCCGGCCTTGAAATAAATTTTTTCAAAGGCTCTTCAGAAATTAGTATAATATGAATATAAAAATGTTAACTTCAACTAAATATTGGATGATTAATTTTCATGGTATTTTTCTGCCTTTGTCAAAATCAGGGCAGTGGGATTGAAAAACATACAATTTTGATTGAAACAGTCCCTTAAGTGAGAAATTCAATATTCTTACACAAAAATAAGGTTCTAAGTACAACATTAAAGAAAATGATAGCAAATAAAATGTTTTCCTTGAGTTGAAATACAAGGTAAAGGGAAGGAAGAAGCAAGCACAATGGCCTTATTAACTTTATTTCTTTGTGCAAAGACCTATTAAATATTCATGGTTCTCCATCTGTAAAAACAAGGAACTGTGTGAAGTTTATTACCTCACTTTTAGCAGCAGTCACATTCTCATTAGTAAGAGTCATTTAGGAGTGTTTATTAGATTGAGTGGGTAATACAGCAAAAAGTCAAATAAGCAGGCATTTAGAAAATGTCCAGAGGATAAGAAACTGGCCTTTTGAAGAATAAAATAGGTCAGTGTTAAGATAGGCTTACTCAACATTTCTATTTTAAAACCACTAAAAGTCAGGGATATTGGAAGATGTCTCAAAGACCCAAGAAACAATGATCAAATTATTTCTCAGGTAAACAAACAAATAAAACCTTATCTTAAACATTTTAATCAACTGAATTGATAAGAGAAATTATATTTTAGAAGCAAGACTAGGTCTCTGATCCTCTGCCTAGAAATTACTTAAAAGGGGAGAACAAGCAGTAATGGTAGTTGCGTGATAAACAGAACACACTGTGGGAGCTGCTAATCTTGTGACTTAAGAACAAGGTGCCTTTGTAAATACTTCACAGAATCAGTTTATGTTGCCCCCCCCTTTTTTTTTTAGATGGAGTCTAGCTCTGTTACCCAGACTGGAGTGCAATGGCGTAATCTTGGCTCACTGCAACCTCCACCTCCAGGGTGCAAACAATTCTCCTGTCTCAGCCTCCTGAGTAGCTAGGATTACGGGCACCCATCACCATGCTCAGCTAATTTTTATATTTTCCGTAGAGACGGGTTTTCACCACGTTGGCCAGGATGGTCTTGAACTTCTGATCTCAGGTGATCCACCTGCCTGGGCCTCCCCAAAGTGCTGGGATTACAGGCATGAGCCACCGTGTCTGGCCACAATGGTTTATTTTCAAGAGTATTATATAATTTCTCTGATGACAGCAGGAGTACCAAACTCTCTGAGAGGCTGAAAGAAAAATCTATTTTAATTGGAAAGATTTTCTGGAAGCACACAATTAAGGTATTGGTGCTTAGTTCCATCTAAAAAAATTCCATCAGGAAGGGAGAAATGAAATTTTCACAAGGCATTATGCTATTCACATGGCTATTAAGGCACTGGAAGTCCTTTTATTCTCTAAACAAGGATAGACAATTTCATTTATTCTACTTCCTCCATCTCCAAAACCACATAGGTAATTGCCACTTCCCGAAGGGGCTCCAAGGATCTACCCTGATAGTGGGAATACAACAGGGTGATGTTTCTATAGTTACATAAAAGACATCATTTACATACTTCTCCCTTACATATGCTAAAGCTTCAGCATCCTCATTCCTGACTTAGATCTATTTAAGTTAAGTGGAAAAGGCAAACAAGCAAGATAGGCAGATCAAGGAAGCTCCACATTTGCTGCCTCTTTTTTCTTCAGAGGAAAAGTTGCTGTCAAATAACTCCAGCATTTGAAGAGAAAGAAATAAAAGGGAGAGACAGTCAGGTCACAGGTATCTGTTTATCTGGCAAAGAACAGGTTAGGAACCAGGCATAAATGTTTAAAATAACTGTCGACTAGTAAATTTTACATAGTTCTTTCTTGAATGAACAGCTAACATGATGTTAAGGCTTCATGTGCCAGAAATCAGTCAGATCTGGATTCAAACCATGGCTCGACCAATCACTAGCTATGCTACCACAGGCAAGTTACTTAACCTCTCAGTTTTCTCAATTGTAAAATGTGGGCAGTCATAAAACAATATATAAATAAGTGTTCCAGCCCAGACATGACGGCTCATGTCTGTAATGCTAGCACTTTGGGAGGCCTAGGCGGGTGTTTTGTTTGAGCTCAGGAATTAGAGACCAGCCTGGGCAATGTGGTGAAACCCTGTCTCTACTAAAAATACAGAAAACTAGCTGGGCGTGGTGATGTGTGTCTGTGGTCCCAGCTACTTGGGAGGCTGTGCTGGGAGGATCACTTGAACCCAGGAGGCAGAGGTTGCAGTGAGCTGATATGGCACCACTGCACTCCAGCCTGGGTGACAAGAGCGAGATTCTGTTTCAAAAAAAAAAAAAAGAGTGCCGGGCCAGGCACAGTGACTCACGCCTGCAATCCCAGCACTTTGAGAAACTGAAGCAGGTAGATCACTTGAGTCCAGGAGTTCAAAACCAACCAAGGTAAGATAATAACCTGGGCAAATGGTGAAACCCTGTCTCTATAAAAAATATAAAAACTTAGCTGGGGGTGGTGGCATGTGCCTGTAGTACCAGTTCTCCCAAAGGCTGCAGTAGGAAGATCACCTGAGCCTGAGAGGTTGAGGCTGCAGTGAGCCATGATGGCACCACTGCACTCCAGCCTAGGCAACAAGTGAGATCTTGCCTCAAAAAAAAGAAAAAAAATTCACAAACAACTCCTGGCATGATGACTGACATAGTGCATACTGTAAATGTTGGTTATTAATATGATATTTAATGGACTATATTATATTGCCAGACAAGACTGGCTAAGACTCATATTTACTTACTTTTTTTTTTTTTTTGAGACGGAGTTTCGCTCTTGTTACCCAGGCTGGAGTGCAATGGCATGATCTCGGCTCACCGCAACCTCCGCCTCCTGGGTTCAGGCAATTGTCCTGCCTCAGCCTCCTGAGTAGCTGGGATTACAGGCACACGCTACCAAGCCCAGCTAATTTTTTGTATTTTTAGTAGAGACGGGGTTTCACCATGTTGACCAGGATGGTCTCGATCTCTTGACCTCATGATCCACCC